TCTCATCATTTATCAATCCAATCTTACTGATTCTAACTATTCTTTTCTACCTTCTACCTTCTACCTTCTAGATTAGGATTGAAAGATCAAAGTTTTTGTTAACAACTTTAAATAAAATTATAGTAGCTGTGTGATCTCAAATAAAATCAATTAAACCTTTAAATAAAATTATAGTAGCTGTGTGATCTCAAATAAAATCAATTAAACCTTTATATAAAATGTTGTTAACTACAGTTGTATAAATACACGCTGATGCAAATGTAGTAGTGACTGTTTGATTGATGCTAACTGAGACTTGAAATTGCAATGTGATGTGAAGTCACGGAACGATGAGTTTTAAGGATGATGTGATTGATTTTCCAGTTTCAATCACAAAGTTCTTTAAAAGCTCTTTTTGATTCATCTTTACCGAACACTTGAACGGTGATCAAGTGGTCAACGATGATCAAAAAGAGCTTTCGTTGAGCTTTTTGGTTGACCGTTTGGTAATCAAAAAGCCGATTTACAAGTTTTTGATTTTGCCCCTTGAAAAAGGGGCAAAATCAAAAAGTGCTTTTGTGTAGCACTTTTTGAGTTTTCCAGCCGAACGGGCCCTAATTTTGTTCCCATAATTGCAAATAAGCTTTTCCAGAATTCAGATGTGAATTTAGGATCTCTGTCACTGATTATTACCCGTGGTAAACCTACATCACTGATCAGTCTTTCCCAGAAGAGTAAAGCAATATCCATTGCTGAAGATTCTTTGTAGCACGGCAAAAATCTCACTCTTCTTGAGAATCTGTCTACAACTACTAAAGCGGAATTGTAATTATCTCGGCCTTCTGGTGGTAATGCTGTGACAAAGTCCATGTTAATGACTTGCCAAGGATATGTAGGTTTTTCAATACTCTGTAGGAGACCATACCTTTTCCCTGTAGCTTTGTTTGCTTTTTGGCATCTGTCACAGCTACTTACATATTTCTCGGTGTCCAATTTCCATTGGAACCACCATGCTGTGGTACTTACTCTTTCCAGAGTCCTGTCCACTCCCATATGTCCAGATAGAAATTCATCATGACATGTCTGTAATATTTGTTCAATGTGTTTTTCTGACACAAGAACTACCACTGAGCTATGCTTTTCTCTGAAGTATAAAAGTCCGGATTGTAATGAGAATTTCCCTTCTGCATAGAATTATTTCCACGGTGACTCAAGACTACTTGCTAGACTTAAGTTGGCTTTGTCCTTTGACATCATTGATACTAACTTTGTTGTATTGACATTAGTATTATAGCTGTCTTTGATTTCTTCAAAGAATTCCGTGCTGAGTTCTGCCAAACTTAATCCCATGACGGGGATGTCTATCTCTGCGTCTTCTGGATCCCACGCAGGATTACTGCTATCATTTGGCAAAGCCATTCTGCTGAGACCATCTGCATTGTTAAGCATTTTACCTGGTCTATGTGTAATAGTCATGTATGGACGATATTCTTGAATAGCCAACATCCATCTGAACATGTGTCTATTTGGAGTTTTGATGTTCATCAAAGATCTCACTCCTGTACAATCAGTAATCACTTCAAAGTACGCGCCATCTAAGAAGTAGTGTAACTTTTCCAATGCCCAAACTAAAGCAAGTGCTTCTAATTGTGGTGAGCCATATCTGGTTTCACTGTCTTTGAGCTGCCTGGATATGAATACAACCGGGCCTTCCCTGGATTTACCATCAACAATTTGTACTTGATGTAATGCAGCACCTAGACCTTCGAATGATGCGTCAACATACAATTTGAATGGTTTAGTGAAGTCCGGTTGCAATAGAACTGGTGCTGTGGTGATCATTTTTCTTATTCTTTGCCATGCATGAATTCTTTCAGCAGTCATCTCAAAGGAAACACCTTTTGCAAACAATTTATATAGACAATTCGCAATTTTACCGTAATTCTCCAAAAAGTTTCTATAGTAGCTAGCAAAGCCCAAAAAACTTTGCATGTCTTTGATACCTTCTGGTGGAGGTTTTTGCAACACTGCCGCTGTCTTGTTGTGGTCAATTGCAATCCATAGTCCAGATACTAGATGTCCTAGTGCTCGTACTTCATGGAAACCCAAAATTCGTTTTCTTCAAGGAAATTGTCATTCCCATAGCTTTGACTTTAATTAAAACTTTCTCAATAGCTTTAACATGGTCCTCCCAGTTATCATGGGATATGATAATATTGTCAATAAAGATTTTCAACCATCCCTCTCGCAGTTCTCTACTGAATTCTATATCCATCATTCTTTGAAAGAAAGCTGGTGCATTCTTAATCCCAAAAGGCATTTTCAGGTATTCATAGATACCCATATGGCAGATAATCCTTAAAAAATTTCTACACGCTTCTTCTACAACATTTTGATGGAAGCCTTTGAAGATATCCATGGTTGTAATGTATATTGCTTTACCAAGATTGATCAACACATGGTCACATCTTGGTAACGGGTATCTATCAGGTAAAGTATACGTGTTCAGTGCTCTGAAGTCACCACACAGTCTAGACTTCCCATGGTGCCATGCAATTATTACGGGTGTAGTAATATCTACTTCCTCGGATTCTCCAACTTTACGGATTACACCCAGTTTGAGTAACTCATCAAGATGTTTTTCAATCTCAACTCTATTCCTAGGACTAGCTGGATAAGCTGCTTTCCGCAAGATAGGTGGATAGGGCTTCTCTATACTCAATTGGATACTTACTTTGTGTTTATCAATTGTACCCAGTGGGTTGTCTCCTAACCCAAATTGGTCTTTGAATTTGGCAATCAATCTCACAATTTGGTCATGTTGTTTATCCGTGAGTTTGGCACCAAACTTAGCTTCTTTGATACTCTCCGTAAATGGTGGAGTTGCATTAATAGGTTCAATTGCAGGGGTTTTTTTGTCTTGGGGAGGTTCTACGTCTTCTTGCTTCTTAAAGACCAGTCCTGTCAACTTTGGTCTTTGAATTGGAAGTCCAAATTTCTTTTTCTTCACGTCATTACCAAATGTAAAGTATTTATCTTTGCTGTGAAAAATATCTATTCCGTACATGGATAAAAACTCATCTCCTATTATGAGATATTTGGTATGCGAGTTATCCATAACCACGAATTCCGCATCAATTCTGACTGATTCTTGCGGATGTGGAAAAACAAGTTTCAAAGAAATTACACCTAAAGGAAACAAACTTCCGCCGCATCCTGTGAACTTTATGTTATTTTCACAGGGAACCATTCTTGACTTCCAGTCTGGCAATAAAGTGGTGAGATAATGACTCCCCACCACTGAACAAGATGCTCCACTGTCTAAAAGTGCTTCAGCGTCTTGGTCATTAACTATGACTCTTGTCAAACTATGATATCCAATAGTGTGAGCTTTACCTGCGGCTGGTCAACACTTCAGTAGTTTTGCATCGCTTATTCTTACATTTCCTTCTCGTGGAGATGTAATCAGAGGCAGTTCTGCTTCTGAGTGTAGTTGTGCAATACTAACTTCTGGTTCAAAGTTGCTTTCTATTGCATCAACTCCAGTGTCAAACACCGTCTCTTTGTCTTCATCACTATCTTCATATTTGTCAATGTTATAAGACGTAAAGTCTTCTTCCTCAACTTCTGTTTCTGCTTCTCCCGTATCCACATTGTTGATGGCTTTTCCTTTCCCTTTACACGTTTTCCAAACATGACTTGGGTCCGTACTGCCACAGGTATTACACGCTCGAGCTGGTTTCCTCACACTTGTAGGCGCTTGTACTTTTGTACTGTTACTTTGTTTGGGAGTATCATTATTCCTGACAAAAGTATTTCTAAATGGTAAAGGTTTCTTAGTCTGAGGGATTCCTTTGCTGATTTCCTTGAATGCCAGAATGAAATCAGTCCATTTTCCATCTATACCAATTCTGTTCCTTACCGGAATCCTGATGGTCGCTGGGACTCTCCATAGTAGTTTGTCTACTACTTCACTACTAGAGGCTTCAGGCTTGAAAGCCCTGATCCTTTGTTGCTGCTTGTTAGCCCATTTGACACAGTCCTGAGCGGTTTCTGGTTTGAAATAATCCGCCATAAATTCTCTCTCCATATTGTTCTTCCACTGAGAATTTCCAAATCTGGATTGGATAGCGTCTTTCCATTCTTCCCATGTTTTATTATATGGGGCGTCTTCTTTCATAACATCTAAAAGCCATTGTCGGGCTGTTCCTTTGAAGACTAAAGACAATTTAGATGTTATTAAAACATCCGGTGGGTTCATAGTAGTCCGTACTTGGTCTACCCAATCAATGAATTCTTGGTGGTTATATTCTCCTTCACCGTTGAATTCTGGCCAGTCTTTAACATTAGGAAAGTTTCTCAAAACTTCTTTCCTCAATGCTGCAGCTTGTAAGGCTTCAGTTGTCTGGAGTTCTACAATAGAACTTTCTCGTCGCGGAGGTCTTTCTGTTGCAAAACTTTGTTCATGCTGATGAACTCTATTTCTATCTTGAATAGGGGAAGTTTTGCTTTCATTCAAGTTTTGCAAATGCGGGGGGACCATCCGTGCGGGGGGTCTATTATCTCTCTGCATGCTTCTATTGGACAGTCTTAGTCTTTTGAAATTGTTCACTAAAGATTCAACTTTAGGTCCGGCTTGAGTAGATTCTCGAAGTTGATGAAAATCCTCCACGAGAGAAATTTTGTCTTTATGATTATTGTTATTCATGTCAACAATCATTTGTTCAAGTTTCTTGAACCTTGAATCTAAATACTTTTCGTGCTCATTTTGCTTTCTTATAATATTTTCAATATTATTAGATTGAACTCTTTGTATGTTCTCAACTTGTTCTTTTTCATCTAAAGCATACTTCTGATTTTCTTCAAGAATGTTACTCAAAGTAGTCAATTCTTTCTCAAAAATTTCAAATTTCTCACTCAAGATATTTTTTATTGACTCATATAATTGCTTATTCATATCATTCAAGATAGTCATGAAAACTTTATTACTCTCACTATTTGGCTCTGTGCTCTCAAGTTTTGGCTCATTAGAAAAAGATTTCTCATTTGGCATTGGAGATAACTTTGTGAAAGAAGAGGAAACAGATAATTTTTTATTTTCATTTAAAATTTTTTTGAAAGAATCCAAAGCAGAAATAAAGGGAGAGCCCTCACTAAATTTTTTTTGATCTAGTTTATTAACTACCTCATAAGTATTCTGAATATATTTTCTACTTAATTGAGAAATCAAATCAACTTTATTAAAAACTTGTTCCATGTTAGAGTTACTCGTCAAAAAATGTTCTTCAAAAATCCTATCTACTCTATCCAAGTCATTGAATTGGATATGAATTTGTTTGAAATGCTTAGCCATTTCATCTAACATGGGCAAAGCAAAATCATTTTTAGTTAGTTCAGAGAACTTGTGAATGATAGATCTTTCTTGAGTATTCAAAAGACTTACATTTTCTTTTACTTGCCTCGAGGTTTGTACTTTCCTCGGCGTCGATTGGAGTTGTTGGAACCCTCCTCTTGAAGGAGGGTTTGACCCATCATGACTTGGGCTCTGATGTAAGCTCGTGCGTCGTCCCAATCGAATTGGTGACAATTCTCGTTGTGGAAATGCTTGGAGCGCTTTTGGGGTTGGTCCACCTTGGTCGCTTGAGGCTGAGAGGTACCCACCTGAGCTTCCTCGTTCCGGTGAAAGAAGCCGTGAATCAAGAGGTCGTTTGGATTCCATTCCGTCATCCCGTTCCTGAAGTAAGCTCGGAGCCATTCCATGATCCTCTGGTCGTTCAGACCGTATTCCTGAATTAGGACCTTCCAGTTCTTCCTGGAGGTGAAGACCGACTCCTTGCACAGTCTGAGCTTCTTGGGATTCGAGTCGTCCATCGCTCGGGCCACTTCCCACTCGAAATAGGCTAGCTTGAGCTTCTGCCATATTTCTAGGTACTTCGCCTCCTTCGCCACTTCCTCGATTGTCTGAGATCAAAGATACCCCTGGTAAGCTTCCTGGTAGATGGGGTGGAGCGCTAGCTTGGGACTTACCAGTACTCGAGACTCCTTTGGAGCTCGTGCTGCTTCCTCTGGCTTTTTGCCTTTGTCCTGAGGGACCAGCCGTTGGTTCGATCCTTCGGCCATCGGTGCGTCCTGCATCCTTGACAAGGTTACCGTACCGGGTTGGTTCAGTTCGGCTACGAGTGGACGAACTTTGTTTGTCAGACATTGTTTAAACAAAGAAAAAAAAATCTTGTAAAATAAGTGCCACTTACTTTGAGATTCTGCGAATCGTTTAGTAGTGTACACAAACGCTCCGTCGGTCGTAGTGGTCTGAGCAGGGAGACGGGGTGGGTGATCACTCTGGAAGCGCTCGGGTGATCTTCCTGGAGTGGTTCCAGGAAAGATTGACTCCGCGTAAGGAGTAGGTGACACTGATCGGCGTGATTCGGTGTCGCTTCAATCGGTGATCCATTGCGAAACCGATCGGAACTTGGGTCCAGTACCTTCGAGATCAGCTGATTCGATCTTGGGGAGTTCTAGTTCAATGCCTTTTTCTTCCACTTGAAGAGAAAAGGGAGAAGAGAAACAAAATGGAAAGAAGAATAGAACAAGATATACTCTTGTTAGTATTTGATGATTAATCTAAAACAACTAAAAATGTGTATTAAGTAATCAAAGACTTACTTTCAAAGTCTTAAACCTCTGGTATTAGATCAATACAAGGTTTGTCTGGTTTGAATAAAACTAATAATCAAAAAAAGACAATTTTAATTAGTCAAATTATTTTTCTGAATAAGCTGAATGAGAACTGTCTCACTGACTTTCTAATAAGTAAAATGAAAGCTTTGATGCGAAATAAAGGAATTCAAAAGCTTCCTTTTTAAACTATTGAATGAATCGCTTCTCAAAATAGGTAACTGAAGGGTTCTAAAGAAAAAGCAAGGGCTAAACGTTGATATTTGAACGATTCGGCCGTTTTATCAAGAGTATTAAGTCTGAAAGAAAAGATAAGTTATTATTAGTATCTTTTCTTTTCACTAATCTAAACCAAGATAGATGAATGAAAGCTTTTGGTACTTACTTCGTGAAGCAAGAAGTACGCGCAAATAGCAATCGAGTTTTCTTCAAAAACCGTTTGATCGACCAAACTAAAGAAACTAATTAAAGAAAGGAAAAAAACAACAAACAAATATGTTAATAACCTTCTTTCCAAATGATCTGAAAGGGATTTTATTACTCACTTCCTGAAAGGACAAGTGAGAAGAATAGAGGATTTGATAAAATTAAGATCAAGAAACAATCGAAGGTTTGATTTTTGATCGGATCGGTTTTAATCGTTGATCGATTGAAGGTACAAGAGCTCTAGATGAAACAAATTAAACACTTGTAAGTTTATTACTTAATCTTTTTGCTGATTCAATTTTGATTACTTACTTTCTAAAAAGATAAGTAAAAAAAAATATGAAGATCTGATCGGAGGATCGTAGATCGGTTCTAGACAAAAAGATTCTAATCGGAGATAATCGGATTGATACGAGGAGAAAAAGGCTTTCGACCTTAATTCAAAAAGGTGGTCGACTTCAGATAAACAACAATAGAAGGAGATGTTGATTGTTAAGTGATCAAAGGTAATGATTCTTTGATCAATGGAAACCAGATCTTATAACAGAGAAGAATAGAAAACAAAATAAACTACTGTAAGTTGTTTATTTTCAAACTGTTTTCAATTGATAGAACTCAACTGATTGGGTTCAAGATGCTGACTTTTTATCGACTATATTCAAGCAAGAACGGTGAACCGAAAAGCAACTTAGCGAAAACGTTGATTGAGTAATTTTCTAGAACACGAGATCGATTCAAGGAAAAACCGTTCTCGACAATGAAATTGAATGGTTGGTTTCGATGGAATCTTTTGTGGGACAAATGGCCCTGGAGTTCGTAGCGTGAAGCCTACAACTCGTGGGCCAATCAACACCGGTAAGGATTCCAAAGGGATTTGACGGTAAATGTCGAATACGTGGCGTGATCGTCGACCGAGGTATATGGTGGTGGGTTAAGGGTAGTGGAATTTGGATATTCCCAAATTCAAAAACCAGTTCAATATTGTACCGCTGTGGCTTCTCGGACCACGCGCGGGCTTGTACTGTACTGTCTGTGAGTATGTACACGGATCAGTACTGTATATGTAATTGTAATTGGCACGTGTTGGCTTTATTACACTACAAAGTATGTGGCTTACACGTGTTACTTTATTCAACACAGCACTTTTGAATATGTAATTCAAATGTACTGGATCAACTAATGATCCAAACAGTTGAAAAAAATAAAAAAAATAAAAAAAAATGCGAAAATTGGAGGGGGGAAATGATTTATTTCTTTCCTCCAAGCTATTCTCCTGATTCTTGAAAATGCTGAGCTTACTCAGTTTTCAAGCTAAACAGGTCAAAGAAAAATGTAGATATAAAATAGAAATGATATATTTTTGGATTTTAGTTTTTTATGAAATAAAAAGATTGAGATAACAACTCAAAAAAAAATATAAAGGGTTCAAAAACACGATGAGGCCCCCAAATTGTGAGCTACTAGCGTCTTTTGGGCTAGTAAAACACTAAAGAATAAGGTTTGCTTAACAAACTAAGTTTGTTAAGCGCGTGAGATCTTTGTTTAAGGTTCTAAACAAAGTGATTAATGAAGTAGTGTGATCAAATCAGCACTGACTTCAGTTAATTGACCTTTTAACAAAGGGTTTTGGATATCTCTCCGGGAATTAATGCAAGACAGGAGTCTTCTAGCAGGAATAAGAGTAGAAACTACAGTCTAGTTCCGTGCCCAAGCTAATAACACTCTACTCTAGAGTTTATTAAACAAGGGAAATATCACCTAGTGATATTTGAAGTTCTTTAAACTCTGAGCACAGAGGAACTCCCGTGAATTTAGAGTTTCTCAAGTTATTGAATTCCCTTGATAACTTGAGCAGTACTGCAAGGATCACCTCCTGAAAGAAGTCTTCAAAAGAACTTCTACAAATAACAAAAGCAATGATCAATTAGAGAAATATACAATGTCTAATGAAAGAGGACAAGGACTCTTATTTATCTGATTGATGATGTTTACTGATAATTTGATGATGTGTAATGATGATGATGGATTTTCCTGGCGGGTCAGAGAGCTCTTTATATACTCAAAAACCCTGAAAATCCTTTATGTACAACTTGTGGTTTGATTACATACTCATTTGACGTATGTAATCATGAATTTTAATTTTTAACTTATTATCTGATTACACACATGTGTAACTCTTGTGTTACTCATGTGATGCGCTCTTGTGAAAGGCAGTCTTACATAATGCAACCTTTTGGTCACATTTACATGTATGTACATATGTAATTTCATATGTAACTATATGTAATTACTTATGTACTTGGCTCTTGAAACTGAGCCATGAGTTGTGATTGTTATTTTTGTTATTTTATAGTTATTTAGGCAGCCCTTGGGTACTAGTCATAGGGCTTGGGGCTGACAATCTTGATCGCAGGGTACGGGGATATCACCCTGCTACTATCTTCTCTCCTCAAGTCCGACTTGCCATTCGACACACAACATTTTCTGCACCTGGCTTAGTTTCACAAATGATGCAGCTAGAAGATAGTACTCCAGAAGGTTTATCTGACATGGAGTACCAAATCAAGCCTCACGTCAAAAGAAGAATGAGCAAGACATGTCAAGAATTCCTTGGTTTGCCAACACGACAATTGTCAAACAACGCTTTATTTGCATTGATAATCCACCTCTTTAGAATTTGTGTCCAAGATGATCGCTGTGCTAACAAACAAAGGTATGTAAACCTTGGTTTCCAATTCATGGAATCTGGTTTTTATAGTTCTGACTCTTTGTTTTGATTTTGTCCATGTTCCAGGAGAATTATTCGATTCTTTCTGGAGACTTCAGAAGTTCACTCATTAATCCGTCAATCCAATCTTCGAATTGTTTCCGGATTGACTCAATCCCATCTCAAAAAAATGAATGGGTTTCTTCTTTTTCAACTTTTCACTTCATTGTGTATCATCATCATCTGTTTCACATACCTTCCTTTTTGATTCTTCAGCGGATCCTTCCATCTCTGCTCTCCCGTTTATGGAAGAGCAAGATGAACCACGCCATATGTCCCGGTGGTGAAGGAATGCACCGGGATAATCAACTCTTCCTACCCATCTCAATTAGACTGCTGTCAACTTTTGTTCTTGCTCCACCTATCTGTTTTTTCAAAATTATAACTTATATTTAGTTCACAATGTAGTATTGTACTTTTTCTCCAGGACTTCATATACACTCCTTGTGGTTATCATTCACGGCGTTTTGTAAAACAGTTTCCATATTATTTCAATCATCAATCGCTTATTAACAATTACAAATGTAGCAGGTTCTTTGTTGTTCAATTTGGTAATGCGCTGGTGAAAACTTGGTATTGCTTGTTCTGGATACTTGACGAGGGTTTTTTTGGTAATTTCCTTCAATCAAGACTTCCTTATGTATGGTTTGAGATAAATCCATGCTTATTTACTATCTGATGAGAGAAAGACATGCCACTGAGATCTGAGCTCAATTCATGAGGGAATGGAAAACCTTGAGAAATGCTCAACATCGTTAAAGTTGGTTTGAATTTAAATCCAAAAACAATGTAAGAAAACCCCATACCAGCACATTTATCAAGTAAATGATCTCATTCAAGCCGCTTTCTACCCCACAATGACTAAGGGATCCGTCAGGATTTATTCTAGGTGTTTTCAAGAATATGATCAGGGATGCATGAGGTCTTGGTTTGTTCTAGAATGATGGATCAGCAAGATTCCCCAATGTACCCTTCAGCCTCTTTCAAATACTGATGTCCTTTTACAGTCGTATATCTTGTGGCATTCTGAATAGGCAAAGATAGCTTCATTCTTTCTTAATGCTAGCAAACATTTTAACGTGTCACTTGACGCTTTTGTGTTTTCAAAATAATGAGGATTGATATCTTCAAAGGAAGTTTATGACATCTTCACTTCTCAAGTCAAACTGAAACCATCTCCATCCCACCAAGCATATCCTACCATTTTAATCATCCTAATATGAAACCAGTCATCTAGATTTTACAAAACAGTTATCCTCACTAAATTGCTCTTACAATCACTTATCTGATATACCACCCAAACAGACCAGACATACTCCAGCAGTGGTCAGAAGATCATTTTGAATTCATTTGAACCTGATCTATCTCAAGTCTTAAACTCTCCTCCATATTGCTGGCTGCTTCCACTGTTCTCAAGTTTGATGAACCAACTGTTGTTGTAGCTGAAATTCCCTCTTACTCACCGTCCATCAACAAAGTTGCCATCTATTTCCTACTTCAGCCAATGTTATCGGTGTTAAAAATTCAACCACCTCATCTCCGCTGATTGGCTCCTCCACAATTAAATCATCTTCTACTATCTCTGGAACCTATCAAGATATTTGAATTTGGAGACCATAATACTCTACATATGACTTAAGCAAGTCTTTTTTAATACCACAGGGGAGAAAAGTTACAGTTACAACAAAAGTTTCATAAGGGGACTGTTTTTTTTTTGCAAAAAAACTCCAACCAACCTCAGGCTTCTTTTACTTTGGGTGTTCCTTGCTGAATAAGACATGATTTTGTTACAGCAAGACACTCAGTTAATTCTGATTTTCACAGGGATTTCCAAACTTGCAGTGTTAAAGGTACTCCAACCAACCTCATACATTTTTTTGACTTTAGATGTGAGTTCCTTGCTGAAGAAGACATAGGTTTGTTCCAGCAAGCCACTTAATTAAGTTTGATTTTCACATGTATTTTCAAACTTGTAGTGTCAAAGGTCTGTAGCCACCAATTCATTGTTACCAATGTTCACTTTAGTTCTTTCCTGACCAAAATTGAGCAGTGAGTCATGTTAAGACTCAGATCTATGGAGCTCCTTTCATTAAACCATTATAAAAAAAAAGTTACCTATTTTGAACAACACCAAGTTAAACATCTTCAAGGAAAAAAAATACAAAATTTAAACCAGTGAAAAGGAAGAAATCAACAAATTTTAAATTACAAAAATTAAAAAACCTTTAGATGATCATAGTAGTGATATTTTCTAGATTGCAAGTAACACAATATAAGTAGTTACTACAGCCCTTTGCATGATTGATGACTTTGGAGAAAAAAAAACCTTGGGTTTTAAACAAAAAAAAACCTTGAGTTTTTTCAAAAAGTGACCGAGTTTTTTTGAAAACCTACTGAGTTTTTCAAAAACTCATTGACATTCGAAAATTTCAAGAAAAACTCATTGACTTTTTCAAAAACTCGGTAGTTTTTCGAAAAAACTCAGTCACTTTTTAAAAAAACTCAAGGTTTTTTTGTTGAAAACTCAAGGTTTTTTCTTCTTCAAAGTCATCAATCATGCAAAGGGCTGTACTTATAGTCTCAAGAATCATAAAATGTTTTACCAAATTCTTACAAAGAAATCAACCTCAAAACAAGAATTTCTTATGTTGTAGAAACCAAGTAACACAATAAGTTTGAATACCAAATTTTCAACAAGGCAATAGTGGAACCACTTCACTGCCAATTGTGGTTGCAGAGCAGTTTTGGGAGCTGCCATGTCACTGCTATATGTAGTGATGACTGCACTCCACAATATGTGGGTGAAGGATCCCATAGCTGTATGTCCTCTGCACAAAAGACTGGTGCCATGTTTGTTCTGCTATATAGCAAAGCTTTGATCCTTTTGTTTGTCTCATTTCCCACTTTGATTACTTATTTTTTATTTCTATTCCTTGAGTTTATCTTTGATTTCTTGATTTTCCTTCAGATTTCTTTTTTTTGTTAAATTTCAATAAACAAATTCACAAGAGGGATTTGATCATGAAATACCACTATATATCAAATTCATAGTGTTTGAATTTCATCACAAGTCCCAGAGAAGAAAAAATTAACATATAACAATTCCAGTGCAGACTGAACATATAACATATGCTCTGCCACACAACAAAGAAGTCCCAGAACCCCCTCAATATGGCCAAGAAATCACACAATTAAACAAGTTACATATAGCTAGATCAGCACACATTCAATTTCCAGTATCCAAGCACTCCTTATCTCCCAAACTAGAAGTTTTCCAACTACAATCAACCTTTCCAAGAAAACCCCATTCCTCTAACCTATTTTATGATTTTTATCACTAGTAACCATTTTAATAATAACAATCACCCAAAATTGATCCAGACTCAGTACCCACATCACACCAATACTTTAAATTTGAAAAGACTTTGAATTCTATGCATCATAAACAAGTTAAACCCTATGAAAGGTGTGTAGAGAAACCGTTTTTGTTGAAGGTCTCTATGAATAAAGATCTGCTCCATTCATGACTCCAACCCTCATCACCTGAAATTACTCAACTTGTGCTCCAGAGTAGTAAGACAACTCAGTACAATTCATTTAATAAGATATTCAATATTTTCAATTTCTCCCAAAAACCAAAGGTGTATACAAATTTCAAAAACCCTAAATAAACAAAAAGTTTTGATTGAACGAATTTTTTTCAAAACTTATTAGAAACCTCAAACTCCAAAGCACATGTACTCTGGTGGATCAATCCAATAAAGATTGAGAAAAAAAAACATATAGAATCAGATAATGAATTGGTCATCCAGAATTTCGAAAAAAATCAAAACATTCATCAAGATAAACTGCCTTGAATGATCATTAATTAATGAAACATACTGTTGGGTTTATATCAAACCATACCTATACTCTCATATACTAAAATCTTCTTTTCCCTTTTGACTTCTGAAATCTAACCGATTGTAGTTTTTTTTTTCGTATGGGTAGTACACAAATCCTTGTGTCTTCTCAAGTCACTTTTTGCTGTTTCCTGCTTACCTTTCTAATCAACCCGCTCCCAACCTGGTCTATCTATGAAAACCATTCTTCTCAACACCTACTTACCTGCTCTCAAGATCTGTCAAAGGAATTCAAGTAACTGTCTTCTATAAAAGTAACACTGCTTGATGGTGATAACATCTGCACTCAGAACCCAATTGAGACTAAGAAATTTCTCATTGTCTTTAAAGATCATGTCAGTCTTGTTATTATCATTATGATTGACTGGGAACAAAAGAGGATATGGTTATAGGTTATTCATTGGGTCACACTATGGTTGTTTACTAGCACCAAAGTGGGAAACACTGCTTTGTGAATACTGCAAGCTTTAAAAAGGAGCTGTCCCGTAAAAACTCAACACAAGCAATTTCGTCTCAAAATCTTCTGTACCTAAATTCATCAATCATCAATAAGTACGCAAGTCTTTCGAAACCCCGATTTCTTTACAAATCATACAAAACCAATCATGATTGATTGATTTATAATAAATTGAATAATCAAATCAAACCAAAAAAAAAAAATTACAAAATATAAAATTCGATATAACCAAACCAAACCAAAAAAAAAACTAATGATATATATATGGGTCATGCTAGAGATAAAAATACATTTCATACCAAAGAAGAAAAATTGCTGATGATGAATGATGATGTAAAAGAAAACAATTGCAGATAACGAAAAATGAAAACATTGCAAACTACTACTACTACTACTGCTAAGAAAAAAAAAAGTCAAAGGTTTCATGTTACATTACCATTCTTTGGTGTGAATTGTCTTTCTTATGATGATTTCTTAAAAATACATAACAAAAAAAAGAAAAACCAAATCAACAACTTCTCAATATTTGCTTTGTCCAAAAAAAAGAATTAAAAGAAAATCAAAATGAAGAAAGAATCAATTAAAAACTTTCTGTGTTTTTCGAGTTTTGAATTTTTGACATTTCAAAATCGGTTTCGATTTTGATTTTTTGATTTTTTTTGATTTTTCCTTCATGTTTTCTTCTTCTTTATTTTCGGATTAATCGCTTCTTCCAATACGCCTAAAGCAATTTCATACTGAGTAGGTAAATGATCATGAAACATCTAAAACCCCCCCCCCAAGAAAGAAATCAATCAATTCCTTTCCCATCAAGAAAAATTAAAAGAAAAAAAGAGTAAAAAAAAACCTACACTTTTACCAAAGATAGGTTCCGAAAACCTAGCCACCAAATCATCACATCTTCTCAAAACGACTCTTTTCCCACCCCTCTTCTTAACTTTCCCCGATGATCCAAACCCCGACCCAGACCCAGACCCAGACCCCGAGATCCCATTAATCTTCTTCAACGAAGCTTCAAGCTTTCCAAACTTTAACCAACTCTTAGCTACTGTAATCATTCCATTCGGATTAGGTTTGACCCATGATTTCTTTTCAATCGCTTCCCCTTCAGTTGGATCATCATTGGTTGGGGTCTCTAAAGATGAACTGTTCTCGGTTTCTTTCTTCTTCATCTCTTCTTCTTCTTTCAAGTTCGGATAAACCTCATACTTTTCTACATGCCAAACTTCTCCTGGAGGACTAGTGTAATCAAAAAAAAAACATTATCAAAAAATAATTCAAGAAAATAATCAACAAAATGGAAATCTTACTAAAGCTTTTCTGAATCTGATGCTGCTTTCATGGTAGATTTCAAAGACCAAAACCAATCCGAAAGTTCCGGTCCATCCTCCTCTTGATCCTTTCCCTTCTCTTTCCCATTCCCATTCTCATTCTCTTTCCCATTCCCATTCTCAGTAGTACCAGTAGAAGTAGAAGTATTAAAACACTCATTCAACTTCTCACTCTTGATTTTCCTAGAATACAACCCAATCACCTTACTAACAATCTCACCCGAGATCTTTTCTTCATCATAAATCGAAACCGCCACATTCTTAAAATCATGTAAGACTCCCAACGACAATGTAGGCACCACATCTATCCCATTACAAACAGCAGTGACCAATCCTACTAAATATTCACTTAAATCAATCGATGAAACTGCCGGTGGTCCATAACAATAACAATGAATCGGTCGTCCATGTGGTAAGCCTGATTTGAAAGAGGTCACAAACTTGGTGATGATCGGAAGTTGAGGTCTAGGTGAATCAGTTGAGCTTTCTGCTGAACTTAATTCATTTAAATACACTTCTGATCTAGTGGAAAACAAAACAGCCAAAAGTGAGGCTACTCCACCACCTAATGAATGTCCAGTGATGATTAATCCATAATCAGGATGATCTAATAAAGCTTGTTTGAGTTCTTGATGGACCAAAGAAGATTGATGTCTTAATCTCAGTGCAGAATGTAACATACCAGAATGAGCTAGATAGGCTTTTTCTGAATCACCTCCTTCTACCATAATAGGTTCATATTGACAAGTAAGATCTACCAAGATATCGGAAAGTCCTAATGTACCTCTACACGTTAGTACAATCGATTTCACACTATGATCTACTGCAATATAATGTACTAATGGACTCAAGACACTGTTTCCTAATGTAGGTTTCGAATCGGCAAATGAACTGTAAAGGATCTGATCCACTGGTAATCCGACATGTGAAGCAAATGCATGATGATTACCAGAATGTTTACGTGTGTTTGGATAATTAAATGAATCCGATCCAAGTCCCATGACTCTTAGAAATTGTTGACCATAAGCAGCTGAACTGAATTTCATAAAATAACTCAAATTAGTGACCAATGAATTAGGAGGATAACAAGATTGAGGTGGTTTCGAGTTGGGTGAGAATGCTCGAGTGATTTGATGATTGTTATTGGATTGGACCTCGGTTTGAACAGGAGTTTCAATCGTTAAAGTAGATGGCTCTTTTAACAGATCCTTTTGGTCGTTTTCGATTGATTCAGCTTCGAATGGGGCAGGCTGAGATGTTATTGTTGGCGGTGAGTTAGATCGGATCGGATGATCCAAGACATCGAATGTGTCATCAGTTGGAGTAGTGACTGATTGTGATCCGGTTTCCGATTCAGCAACGACAGACATAGTACCAGAATAAGTTCTAGACCGTGTATGAATGGCATTACGAGTGATACTTGAAAATGAATGAAGAAACGGTTGACGAGGTGAAGTAGGAAGCGAGTTGGGTAGTGATCGAGACACAAGACTCTCTTCAAATCTTTTCGACGGTAAACAATCCAAACCTAATCCCACATTATCAAAATCACAAGAAGCACTAGCTTGAAACCTTGTCCGACGTTGACTTGACACCGTTCTCCTCATCATTCCACGAGGTTTAGGTCTTTCTAAGTTCGGAGTAGAAGGCGGTGCACGCACTCCAAGACGAGACGCATTCGGTTCACAATTTGAACAAGAGTTTTGATTGAAACTGTTCATGGCCAGATGATCAACTCCAGTAGTAACCCCTTCGAATTCTTGTGATGAGAATTCGATCCACTCTTCTTCTTGAGAATGATGATATGATCGACTTGGAGCGGTAGCAATCGCATCGGTCAGTGATTGATGAGGTATACATTCAAAGTAACCATCCATTGTTTTTTCAAACGGTCTCTGACAGCTGTGAAAGGCCTGCAAACGTTCATAACCGCTCGATGGATTCGACTTGGAATTGATGTCGTTGACAGGGCAAACGGTGGTAGCGGTAGTGGTAGTGATAGTCGTGGTGATTTGGTAAAGAGAGGCATCATGTTCATTTGGGTTGACGAGTTCTTTGAGTGGTATGGGTTCGTATGAATTGGGTACCAGATCATGCTTTTCTGAATTTGTTTGATCCACTTGTGAATCCTCATCAGATGTGTCATCACTACCAAACAGATTTGTTCCTTCACTGTCGGTACAGGTAAGGATAGGAACAGAAGTGTGAGAGTTTGAACGACTGATACTCCATCGAGTGGCTGAGGTGAGACCCTGATCTTTATGCCAAGTGTTACCGCTGGCGCTAGTGGTTTGAGTTTCAGTCACACGATAGTTTTGATGTGCTTGATCCTTGTTGGCAATAGCATGAGGCGTCTGAATGAGTTCTGGTACAGCTGAAGATGGAACTGAATCCAATTTATTCTGCAAAGCTGCAGATTGAGCTCTTTCTTCACGTAATGCTTTGGCCTCTCGAATAAGTACTTCTGCTGCACGAGTCCCAAGATCATAATCCATGTTTGCATTACCAAAGATTGATGTTTCGACTTCTGCTTCATCCATCACTGTGGCATCCCATACGACTCTCATCTTCATGTTAGCCATCGATCGTCGACTGGTAGCGAGTTGTAGGCAAGCAAAAGCTGTCATTGCCTTTGTGAGTGAGATTAAACCAGTCAAGGTATTGATATGAGATGGAGTGAAACGAGGATCGTGTAAGAATTCACGTCGAACGAGCATGATGATAGCTGAGAGTGCACGAGACGATTCATTTGATCCAAAGATGCTATCCATAACTTTGACTGATGCTTCAGCGGTCTAAGAAAGAGGAGATGATCAAAAAGGTTTCAACTCAGACTTGTGTATGACAGAGAAAAGGAATTGTAAAAACCAAACTTACACTGAAACCTGTACTGATGGCAGATTGAGTAAGGTTAAGACCAGCCATAGCAAAGAGTTCACTCAAAGTAAAGATATGATGTACGGTATAAATCCCAAGGTTCGTATACCGATCAAGTAATTGAAAATAAGTTAATTCCATATCATTTTCCGTCAACTCTCGAAAACAATCCGGCGAAGTCAAATGATTTGACCTTGCTCCACCCACAGCCGTGGTAAGAGCACGACGAGTCAGACCGACAGTAGTATTAGTAGTGTAACGGATTGATTCGACCACCAATTCAGCAAAAAATGAAGTTGATCGTAAACCGAGTCTAGCAGCAATAGTAGCCATGGTGATGATGTTGGCGACATTTTGAGGTAAGATGGGAGGAGTTGCATCTAATCTTGAAATCAAATCTTGAGTGGCTCTAGGTGAAAGTTGATAAGCCGGTTGAATGGTTAATGAATTGATTTGGTTAGAAGAAGAAGAAGAAGAAGCTATTAACTGAGCATCAAAACGAGAAGATTGATTTGTGAGATGATCGTTTTTGAAATCATTGAAATGAATATATGCAGGATTGGTTTGAGATTGAGTTTTAGATGATGAAATCAAATTGAAATCGATTAATAGGTTTCGATAAGATTCAGGTAAAGCTAAGGAAACTATATCAAAGGCTAATTGAAACATATTCAAAGGTAAATATAAAAAAGGAGTTGGTGAATCTGATCAAATCAAATGAAAGAAAAACTAAGAATCTGGTTCTTGATCGTGATGATGGGTTTTCGTAAGTTGTCGTGGTCGTCGTTGTCGGTCAATAGGAGTGTTTTGATTTTTTTAAAAACCGAATTCCGAATGAAGTGAAAGTCAATTCGATTACGTAAATCAAAAAAACCTTAAAGTCAAGAAACCCAAAGTTAGTAATCAAGTAAATCTCCAAGCGAGGAAGGAAAGGAGACTCGATTGAAGACTTACCGAGAAACCTTGAAGAAACTTATCAACTGATCAAACTCAGATTTAGCAAGATTGTGGATTGAGAGACTTGAATCAGAAGTCTGGGGGGATTTGGATAATAAAAGGTATAACTGGTAAAATGTTCAATGTTCAATCAGATTGTAAGTGATTTTCTTAAATTGATAAATCAGAATGAAGATGGGGAAAGGGAACCAACGAAAGAAGAAGAACTCAGACTTTAAGGATCAAAATTAAATCAGCTTGAACCCTTTTTTTTTAATTTATATTTCAGGAACTAACTTGGTTTAAAATTACACATTCTCATTGATCCTTCCATTCATCTGAACTGATTCTACTCACAATTACTCGACTCAATCTCAATCTCCCTGATTCTTCATCCTGTACCTTGATTCTCATCACAACTAACTGAACTTTTGTAAACTCTTTCAACTGTCCACAGCCATTTCCAACAAACCATTCCGGGTCCGGTCCAGTGATCGGTACTTTTCACTCAAACTTCAGATCACAAGACTTGCTGTTCCGCGTCACCTCTTCTCTTCCTTGAGATCTTTAAGTTCAACAGGCACCGTAACTGGATCATGATATGTACCTTTTCTTACGTAATTCGCACTGGTGATTTCCCTTCTTTTGTTTCCATCTCAAAAAATACCCATTCTTGAAAAAAAAATGTACCTTTTCATTCAAATTGGCCATGTATGCTCAATCCATTTCTAATTTACTTAAATCTCCAATAAATCATCCCCTTTCCAAACCAGACCCACCCTCTTAAGAAGACCGTTCAATGTACCATTACGTATTTTCAATCAGTCGAAAAAGACTCGAAAAATCATGGTCTGTAAATTTTCCAAGTATGCAAAACCCATTCTTCAAGTTTTACCACAAAGATACAAAATCAAAAAGACATCCAGTTTTTTTATATTAATTTATTAAAACCTAATATTTAATTTATATGTACGACATAAAACAAAAAAATGCAAGAAAACTATTAAAAAATGACTAAATCAATCCACCCAATCCAAACCCAATTCAAACCCTAAAGAAACCCCAAAAGAAACCAAGAAAAAAACCCGAAACCAAAAAAAAACAAATGAATAAAACCTTGATCAAGTATACCTATTATGTTCAGGTTTATGATCAACTTCATGATCCAAATGAACAAAAGCTCTATCGACCTGTGCAAGAGTTTCAAGTTTATCCTGTAAATCTTGTCCTAAATCATGTGCTAACCAAAGTGGTGTATTACCATCTAATACAATATCAATCTCAACAAAATAATTAGGTCCTACATGATAACATTTACATGAATCTATCTTTTCTATATGACTTGAAAACGTCATTGCCTATTCATTCATCAATAGATTCCGTTAATAACTTTTTTTGGGGGTCAGGTTTGAGGATTTGGCTTACTTTGTAGACTACTCTTTGCATGAAATCTACTGGTGCACTTTGGCCTGCTAAACATTTAAACTGATCAAAACCAACCGATCAAAATGAAGATAATGATTTGGTCAGTTAAAGACCTCTTTTGATGAACGAAAAAGAAACTCACTTCTCTTGTAATACTTTCACCCCATAGATATATTAAAGCCATTGAGATTATTAAGGCTCCTAAAGGATCGATCCACCATTTGATATGTGCTCCAGCAGCATTGGTAAAGATTCCAAAACCTGTGAATTGAAATGTAGAGGATTAGATGAGGTCTTGTAGATCAGATGAACTGAAAGATTGGTACTGACCATTGATGAAAAGATCTATAACAAAAAGAAACCCAATCATGTTTGATATTCCAAAAAAAAATCCCATCAGATCCGAAACGAAACTCGTCAAAAGAAAGCCTTCACAGAGATATCAAGAAAAGAAAAAAAGCGAAAGATGATCGTACCATTTCGATGATCTTCCCAAAGCACACGAACTTGACTATCACGATTCCTAATCGTCCAACAATAAACAAACAAACCAAACTTAGCCAAAAAAGCAACACAAACTGTAATCACAGCCGATAAATGATAAATCGGTTTAGATGAATTTGATGGGTTTTGAATTAAACTTTGAATGGATTCGATCACTAAAACTAATGATCCACATCCCATTACAGTTGAATAAATTATATTTCCAATCGTTTCAAATCGACTTCCACCACTTGGATATTTTCTTAAATCTACTTTAGATGCATATTGATGACTAATCAAAAAGAGAGGAAAAAAAGTCATTGGATTAGGTATGTGTTCAGATCGGTAAGGGTTTGAAGAAACAAACAGAAGACTGACGTACGCATAATTTAAAGCCAAGTTGGCTAATGGATCAAAAACAGCATCCAGAGCGGTAGCAAAGAATGATAAAGAAAGAGATGAGATAGCAGCATAGAGTTGTAAGATGGCCAAGCAACAATTCACCACAAACGAAGCTCTGATGGCCCATCTAACGTGTTTGGCAGTTGAAGAGTTTTGATCTATGGCTTCTTGTGCATCTTCTTCTAAACTTTTTAACATACTTGTCTTTTTTGGGGGTTTTTTAAATGGGTTTCGTGATGATTGGTGGTTTGGATTTGGGGGTTCCGATGGGTTAAAGTTATCGGATGTAGATCGTCGGGAAGTGCATGAGATATTATTCGAATTATCGAACCGAAAGTTGATCGATCAAAGACAAATGTAAAAAGAAGATGATCAACATTTAGATTAAGATATCTTACATAGATTGTACAAGTGACCAAATTTACTTACGATATGTTCATTTTGAGTTTCATAAAACTCTTCTACACCTTTTGCTTTTCGACCATGTCGTTTACGAAGTTGACTTAAACTTGCTTGATCTTTTAACTTTGATCTTAAAAACAATGGATCATCAGATAAATGAATCGAAGGTTTTAAGATCCTAGACCATTGTCCTTCTTCATATGGAATAGGTTTCATATGATTTGAAAATAAAGGATCTGAACGGGTTTGTAAAACTGGTGAATGCGATGGATTCGATTCATCTGGGTTTATCGTTTCTTTGTCTTTTACAAACTCTTCGGGTGTTAAGGGTGGTGATGGTAATGGTGCTGGTGGTAATTGGAGTCCGAGTGATGAGTTTGATGTTCGACTTGGAATCGATTTGATTTGATTAAGTTCGATATTCATAGTTTGAATTGATGGGTTTGTATATTTGATTGAATCCGTTTGGTTGGTAAAAGGATAAAAGGGTAAAAGGGTATAGAAGTGTAAGATGGTATCTCGGATAAAAAAGGAAAGAAGGAAAGGAAAGAATTTCTAAACGATCCTTCAGGGTTGGTATTTGGTTCCAGCTGACTCCGATGTCGATATTCTGATCTTCAATTCACTGGAAATTCCGAGAACTTCCACCTGCGTAAGGCATCATGCATATATTATCTTCAAACCCCATCAAATCATAAAGAAACATACTCCAGATTTTCTCAAAACCGTTGCTTAACATTCAAAGCATACCATGTCTTCAGGTGACCATCAAGTTAGATGTAAATCAAGGAGTTTCAATCAGTATACTTTACCTCCTATTTCTTCCAGCTCTGATGACTTTTTGGGGAGGTTGAACTAGTTTTTCAAAATGTACTGTTGGTGAGCTGTTTGTTCTGCCCACGTGATCTACATCTCAATTTTAGAAAGTCATCGCAGCATTCCAGAGAATCTCCGACACTTCAAAAGATTTCTCTAACTGGTTTTGACGGCTGTAACGAGTGGCCATGAGGGAGGCCCTCACTCATACGTATATTGAAGCCTCAGCTCAAGCTGGATGAGCTCATCGATAGCATAATTATATGTACATAGAGCCTGAGGAACAAATATCCGATGAAAGAAAACTTTGAAATACATAAATTCTTCTGAATGGTTTTTGTTTTCGAAAACGTTTGATCTATTGAACCCATCCGAACCATGATGAAAACTTTACAAGGACCTGTTACTAGTGAGGTTTTCTGAAAGAAACACATCTTTTGTACATTTTTTGGGAGGTAATCCAAAGCCTCATTATCATGATCTGGTATTCAATTCATAAAGTGAGTTGGTTCTGGAATGGTGAGCAGGACCTCAAATATACCTCTTCAAAAAGATTTTCAAATCCTGAAGGGTCATTGATCATTCGACATCTTATGTAGTCCTAAACGCACCAACATAGTAAATCCTAACTTGACTTTATTCGTTGATGCTATCATCATTTCTATATGACTTTCAGTACCTTTGACATTTGGTAGGTCCTGAGGATTTATCTTTCTGTTGTAGAGACTTTCGTTCACTTCCGATTTCTGATTGACTTGATATTCCTAAACATCCGACAAATTATTTGAATCTTATCTAGCTGTTAACCGTTTCGTATGATTCGATTGCTATAACAGACAAGAGCAAAGGTGACGACTTTTTTTCTTTGATGATTTTAAATTGTGACATGTTTTTAAAAACAGTATGATCTCATGACTTGATGAATGGATCCTTACTTGTGAATGACGTTTTGAAGCAGAAGAATTTAATTATCTGATTTGCGTGGTAGAGATTGTATAGACAACATGATTTAAATTAAAAAAAATCTAATCTAGATATGAAACTATTCAGATTCGGTTTTCTTTAAACCTTGCTGCTCTTGTTTTTCAATTTTTTTAAGATACATTTTGTAAAGGAATGAAGGACTACCAACGTATCGAATTCGTTTCAAATTCTTTTGTTTGATTTGTGATACCTTCAAGACTGGATTAATGTAAGATTTCCAACGTTTTGTAATTGAACCACATGAGTTTTTATACTTTGTCTTAACTTGAAAAGAAGTTCCTAGTCGAGTAAAGTTTCCTGAAGGCTCGATTGAAGGTCTAGTACATACAAGTTCCTTATTACCTCGCCATAAAACTTCTGTCATCCCATCACATGATCCAAAATCGACTTCACATTTAAGATCTGGCCACCAAAAACCACCACCTTGAACGTCAAAACCTTGATGCTTGTAGGCGAGTTGGCCAGTTTTATTGTTGTACGGTAAGAAGATACCCAAGGACCAACCAAGAGAATCTTTTTTCTGGTGGGGATTAGCTTGATTGCACGTTTCTTTGTATAAAAATTTCGATAAGGACTTGAAGTGTCGTGTATAGATGTTTTGCACTTTAGGACGACGGAGTACACATCGTCTCCACCAGTAAGTGAGCAGTTTACGACTACGTTGTACTCTCTTACAGGGACGAAGACCTATAAATCAGAAAGCTTGAGTTCAATATGAAAGAATAAGTAAACCTTAACCAGTCAAAGATGATTCACTCACCAGTCACTTTTGATGGATGAAACGCTTTGTGAAACCCCACCGTACCCAGATTTCCTCTCAACATATCACCTTTCCCCATGATCGGGTTCGAAAACTCTCGCTCTTCATGTAAATAGTTTGCAAGAAATCGTAGCTCGGAACGTTGTTTTGAAGTCATAGACTTGAAAGGTGTTTGACGAATAAGAGCAACCACCTTGTGGTTCCTTTTGTCCGTCAATACCCCTAGCTTACAGTCCTTAAGGATATAAGGCTCTTGTCCTGCAACTGGTTCGTTCGTATAGTTTTTTGGATTAGGTTTATCTTCCACCCGAACACTACGACTGTGTCTATCTAAGTCTGGTTGATTGAGAACTATATTGACATGACGTGTTTGTAGGTGATGATGTTTTATCTTCTTTCGCGCTGCTTTGATCAGGGCGGGATCCTTCAAAATGTTTGATGAGTTCTCTTGAATTAATGAAAAGAAATCTGAAACACAACATACATTACCCGTCTCAGCTTCTGATGGCTGATAACGAAGTCTTTCTTCCCTTGCTCTTGCACGGTGATGTCCCATTGAGTTGCCTATGGGGAGAATATGTATGATTTGAAGAGGAGACCGGCGCTCAGTAAGTCGCTCCGAGATGATAACGATGTGGAAACGTATAGCTTCAAGTTCTGCTGAGCGTGCAGCTCTCTAAACTCTATACAGCTCATGTCCATATTTTGTTTGTAACCAGTTACGTGACCGTCTAGACCGCCTATTTGAGGTTTACCGAGCCAACTCCGGGTTGGGCATTTATACAAATTTCAAAAGAATTCCCAGTAAAGGTGGTTCACTTGATTCAAGAATCGAATTAACCAAGTTGAGATTGATATCTCGAATTTGGTCTGAAGCTGTTACTTATATCATTTTATTATCAAACGATCGTTATATAGGCTTCAACACGCGTTCAGACGATTTTGGATAATTGGAAAGCTGATTTATTTGGACCTCACTTTTCTTGTCCTGTTTGGTAGCTTACAATCCTAAAGCTTGGGTATTCAGAATATAAATCAGATCATCATGGTATTAGACTTGTTCAAATTTAAAACAGAAATTTGGAGTTGGAAATTTGAAGTCGAGAATTTGGAACTCTGTAATTGCGTACAGCTTGTACATGAAGTGTATGAGTGTATGAGCTTGTATGAGATCTACATAAGTTCGTACATGAGCTGTACGAAGCGAGCTGCTTTTGCTCAACTTCAAGTTTTTGGGGGGTCTCTCAAAGTTGGATTCGTCAACTTGGAGTGCCGAACTTGAAGTCCAGCTGACCTCTCCCCCCACGCATCTTGGAGTTCCTCCCTACCCAATACACCGCAATGGGCCACTCACGTCCATGCTACCCCTCTCAACCCTTACCACGGATCTTCCCTCCGGATGAAGTTCAATCACAGCGCGTTGATGTTAACGTTCAACACGGTTCCCTAGATTCTGGTCCGCCAACAAACTCTACGCCTGAGATGGCCTTGGGTTACCAATCCACGCCTTCCTCCCACATTTCTTACGGACATCACCCTACTTACGATAATTTTCAGTACGATGCACACCATCAAGTGCCTTACGGTTCCCCTTACGAGACTCCTCATGGTTCTCCTTACGAGACCCCTTACGAGACCCCTTACGGCCTATCCCAATCTCAAGCTTATTCACCTTCAAGTTTTATGCCGGTGCCCTCTTTTCAACCTCAACCTAGCACTGTGCCAGCTCCTGCACCAGCTGCTACGGTTACTCCCATACCCAGTCCTCCGGAAAAGCGTAAGAGAGGCAGGAAAGCCAAGCCTAAGCCTACCGAGGGCCCAATTTCCGAAAAGGTTCCGGTATCCCAACCTTCGGCTTCAAACGGTGTCGCGGAATCCAATGCTAAGACTGATTACCATTGCTATTGGTTGATGCATAAAAATGAGAATGGTCAATCAGCTTATAGCATACTTGTAGAATGGGTGATTGTCCCTGGAAATTACAACAGATGGCGTGCGAAAGATTCGAAGAAGAAAGAAGTCGCTGACGAGATATCCACCTTTTTAATCGAAAGGGGAATCACTGGCAGGACAGCTGATTCCTGCTACTGCCAGGTGAAGTATCTATGTTATCATGCTTAATCTTAGTATCCAGATGCTAACAGTTTGGTTTCATTATGGCTAGGTACGTGAAATCGAGAAAAAATATCGCTTGGCCCTTGAAGAGACTAAGAGGACTGGTGGTGGGTCAGTCGGGTACCCTGGAGAAAAGTCTTATGATGGTAAGAAAAACTTTCGATTGTGTCTCTGAATTGTACACCTCAAACTAACCCCTTGGAACCTCAGAAAAAATTGAGGATATGTGCCCGCACTTTTATGAACTCAATGCGATGATGGCTGATCGACCATCAGCGACACCCCTGGACAACATCGAGTCGATGGCGGATCTGGATGAGGCCACCTCAATGGAAGCTCTTCGCCTCCCTCAAAAACAATCAATAGTAATCGATCTCGACGCTGATGACGAAATTATCCCTAATGATACGGCTGATACCGATGACGAAGGATTTGCTATACCTCCCCCACTCAACCGGAATGCACTTATGCAAGCTATTGATGGTGCCGACAAGGCTGTGAATCTTAAACCCGACAAACGCCAGAGGGTATTTTCAGCAGATGATTCCTCTGACTCGGTGCGTTCAAAAATCTCAAGCAAGAAGGCACGGAACCCCAATGCAGGCCGATTCTTGACATTGATTGGAATCGACTCGTCTCCTTCCCAACCTACTACCTCGCGAAAAGGCGCCAATCAGACCAGCCCTCAAGATTTGTTTAAATTTCAAGAGCAAGCTTCTAAACAACGTGATGATCTCATAGAAATCCAGAGAGATGCTGTCAGGGTTCAGGCAGACGCGGGCAAGGACATGGGAACAGCCATGAAGAGCATGGCTGATACTTTGAAAACAATCGTTACCCCCGACCAAACCGAGGCTCAAATGAATAAACTGAAGCTTAAACATATGATCAAGATGCAAGAGGCTGAACTCGTGGACAAAGCACTTGAAAGAAAAGCAAAACTGGTTGAAAGGTTTGCCCTCAGTGGTATGAGCATGATCGATGCCAATGCTCTCGCTGATCAGATGATCAGCGAGGCAGAAAAAAGTCAGTATGGTTCAGTTTCATTAATTTGTTTCAATATATTCTTGTGTTGACAAAAACATAACGGCAGGTGTAGCTAAAGTGCGCGAGTCGTCACCTGGCGAAGAATGAATTGTTCTTCTGCGGCTGGAGAATTAGTCCCGTAGTAAGTAATACCGGTCATATTGCTTAATGTGGCACTAACTGACATTTAGATGATTCAGTTAGTTTACTAAGGTTCTCATTACTTTTGAAAATGAGAACCGCTTTCAAGATCGATGTTAAAAAGGGCCATATTGAATCAACAATATCAAAGTGATTCGGTCCCGAGCAAAAAAAGCTTCTTATAAGGTAGGCTTCCTCTTTTATAATAGTTCCAAAGATGTCTGTAGTTACTATGCGATTAAAGTGTAGCAAACAAAGAAATGTACCAGACTGTTGACTCAAATACGTGAAAACCCCATGTGAGACCGAAAGGACCAATATGATGAGTGAGCGAATGTGACATGTTGTTAATGAGTAAGTGGACAACAAAGAGATACGAGGACATAAAGTAATGGTCCCAAATACATATGATTTGACTGATGTATTTCATAATACTCTATGTGGATCAAATGCGGATGTAGAAGTCAAGAGACATAAAATGCAAGCATACAACTACAATCATATTCACAGACCATGTTGTGCTAAGTAAATTATAACTAGTGAGCCACTTGATAATTTGCAAACAGAGCTGCTCAAGTGTCAAATTCATCACGAGGGAGTTGATCATCTTCCGGATAATCTTCTTCATCGCTTTGAATCCCCTCATTGTGTTGAGGTGGGGGTTGAAAAAACTCGTTACCACAATCTTGCACATCTATCAGGAAGTTATGAAGCACTACAGTGGCTGACAAATGTAGGTTCAGCCTTCTGGCCGAACGAAAATCTTTGATAATTACACAACTCTGAAAGAGAGACTGCCACCGACCCTTCCAGAGCCAATTGGTGTTTTTGATCACATACCGAAGGCGGCTGAGTTCTTTGCTAAAAGCCCTCTGTAGGGGGGGGAGGGGCATACCCCGCGGCTTTTTGAAGTTTGTGACCAAGTAGCGATTCAAAGGATAACCGGAATCGCCAATGAGGTATTCGCCGGGGCTAAAGAAGCGCTCTGGATGTTGCGATAACTATGGACACCATGGAAAGTGGTCAGTTATACTCATGCGCCTTGGAGGAAACATAAGCGTCCATACTAACCTTTGTGTTTCAATACACTCGTGAATCATGGGCACTGCCACACCACCCATGAGAAGCATAAATGATATGCTTCTGGTGATCACACACCAACATCGAGTTGACCGCATAGGAGGACTTCCGAGTGCGAAAGTCCTCCATGTTCTTCTCAGGGCCAGTATGCAGGTTGATTAGGGTTCCATCAATGAACCCTACACAACCTTTGAAAAAACCTTTCTTCGCAACTGCCTCCTTGATTTTCTTTTGTCCTATCACATCGGGCCAATTGAAAAATTGGCGATTAAGGGCCACAATCGCAATTACACACCGGTTTGTGTAATTGTACACGCTTCCTTCTGAAAGACATCATGAGATAAAAGTTCAACACCATACAACCTCGATTCAGTACATCAATCTTACCCGATATCCCAAAACCAAGGGCAAGCAAACATGGACTAGCACCATTTCCAGTCAACCCTAAATAAGCCAGTGCGACCAATAGTTGCCATTCGACTGCGGCTTGTGGCTTATTTGACTGGTTTTCAAACACCGGATGATCCCCAATCATGTTGAGCAATTGAATAAATGACGACTTTTGCATCCGGGCCTACAACCACATGATAGTATAATTGGTTTGTGAGCAAAGTGACTAAACAGACGTGAAAAAGGTGGAACATACCAGTCGCATGAAAACTGCCTCTGGCTCAGTAAAAAGATTCATGAAACGTTCCGAACACCAACTTCGCTGGCCTCGAGATAAACGTGGAGTTAGATAGCGACAAGAGTTGATCGCAAAAAATTCATTGATCAAATTCTCGATCTGCTGATCATGCAAAGTCTGTAAGATGTGGTGTAAGTTTCGATTTAAATTCTCAAATGAATCAGTAAACCATTTCATGCCCATGCTGATTATTGCCATTGATATGCTAATCAGCTTTGGGTTGCGAGGTGATTTGTTCGAGATCGCAGACAGATGGGTCACTGCTGAGACTTGTAGAACAGCGGCTAGATTTGAAAGGCCAGATGTGATAGGTGCGTGATACGCAGGGTTGTTGTCGGATAAAGTGGTCAGAGCAGCACGAAAATTTGCATGGAGGAGCTGGCGGCGGGTTGGTGGCGCCATTCGAAGCTGATAGAGGTGGTGGTGCTCGTCAAGAGGTGTTGTATATATGTAGCCGGAACTCCAAGATGCGTGGGGGGAGAGGTCAGCTGGACTTCAAGTTCGGCACTCCAAGTTGACGAATCCAACTTTGAGAGACCCCCCAAAAACTTGAAGTTGAGCAAAAGCAGCTCGCTTCGTACAGCTCATGTACGAACTTATGTAGATCTCATACAAGCTCATACACTCATACACTTCATGTACAAGCTGTACGCAATTACAGAGTTCCAAATTCTCGACTTCAAATTTCCAACTCCAAATTTCTGTTTTAAATTTGAACAAGTCTATTGATGATAAGGGTGAAGCTTTCAACCCAAACTTTAACATGACTCTCTGTGAAATTGAGGTACTGACCAAAAGTTCTTTCAATTCGATTTTCAGGTCAAAAAACATCCACTTCAGTCTCAATGGATCAATTAGCCACATTAATAAAATAACTTGGTAAAAACTTGAAAACTTTGGAACTCTGCTTTATCTACCACGACGATATAGGTGTTTCAACCCGAGTGATCAAATCAATCCAAAACACTGAAGAGTTGAAACCATTCACGATTTTAAGCGGTCATGAAAATTCAAAATATAAAACTCGTGATTCAAAACCAATATCAGAATTATCCTCATTAATACCTAAAATCAAATGGTCAAAATTCATAGAAATGTTAGAACAATAGTCACCGACATAGATTCTACTACTTATAACTCTTATTGGGATCTGTCGATTTTAAAAGTTGGTTGGGAGGAAGTACCCAACTTTAAACATCCTGTTTTTATAAAGAGTCATGGATTGAAGAGTATAGCGATTCCTCGTAAATTTGTGGAAGTCAACAAATCTCGTGGAGTTCAATAGCATGTTACAAATCAAGTCTCATGTGATGAAATGATGGTCCGTATTGTTTCTTCTTCTTATCACACGTAAATCATTGTAATTTTTAAGGGTATGAGTTTTTAAATATTTGTACTGATCACTTTGTTTGATAACCAGGATTCGGATCTTAAGCTGAATGGGCCGATGAACTAGATAATCAAATTTGATCATCGAAACCTCTCAAACCTCAGCACCCCTCGCAGCTATCTGTGTTCAATATTCAGCAAGGTCAACTTTATTGCATGAACGCAATGAATGGAAACTATGTTCGCTTGAGCAATTCAAGGTAGTACAAAAGTCTTGGTAAACAATTGTATTCATTGACCTCGCAGTCGGTGTTAGGTTGTATTAATTTCTCTCCTCTCGATCCAACAATCATGGTTGTCGAATGAAGGAGATTTATATAAATTTTGTATCATCTCTTGGTTCCAATCACCTTCGTTTTGTTCATGCGAGGTCTTCTAGACACAGATCCGCTAGACGACTAGAGATACCAAGTGTTCTTGAGCCTGATATGGTCCATATTATAAAATTTGCACAATACTTGTTCAAGTTTCCTATTCACCTATCAATCATTGAGTGTCACCTAACAAGTCAACAAACCCGTGAACTTATTCCATGCTGAGCCAGCGGAGGCGTCTTGATGCCACAATCTTTACAGGTGAAGCCATCTGGCTATATGTTCAATTCTCCCGCCCTTTGTACTCTGTGCAAGCAATTTCTCTCAGGCTGGCGTATTCCCCCCCCCAAACTGCCTAGTCATCGATCAGCTTCCATAATTTGAAATCATTTGTTGTATTTTGTTCTAGCATTGTTTGCCCTTTTGTCCGTTTTTTGATTTTAGCAGGTCTTGTTCCTTCTTATAATCATTTTGATGACATAATCTTACTTTCTTAAAAAAGTGTCTATCTCAAAGGAAGGGATTTGATTCCTCTTGAACCTCTGAATTTGAGGTAAAGAAAAATCCATGCCCATACTTCACTCCAAAACCCCCAGATGTTCTTTTTGAGGAAGCAAACTAGAAATCAGAACAAGCTTCTATGGTTATCAAGCGTAATGAATCCTCAGGAAGAATTGATGAGAGTATACAAGTTAGAATCTCATCAATTTTCATAATTCATTCAATTTCACTTGCAGTGGAAGACCTTTGCACTTGACTTTCAAGATTTGTCCATTAAGTTTTCCTTTTCTTGTGTAAAAACCCCTATCAGACTGTTGAGTTTTTACTTCAAGATACCCACGCGAAAAAGTGGGTATAACCAAGGCGCGAGGGGCTCAAGTCTCACCTTAACTTAAAAAAGAAGGCATATGTCAACGTTGGATTTGATTGCCCGATGTTTTTTTGCTTTCGCTCACGGATACCCCTTTGGAATGACTTATTTCAATCCCTAACTCAAATAACCTTGGATAAGACCTTGACTGGGGAGATGGAGATCAAGGGATCGACCCGGTCCCTAATGACACTTGCATCAACATGAACCTCGGGCTGAAATGAGTCCATTCGAAAAAAGAAGGGTCCAAAATTCCGATTGCACCCTTGATGAGAATTTTGATCCATCGATCCAAAACGAGAAGACCCCATGGGTTTTCCTCTAGGTATGTATCTGAAGCCATGAGATCAACATACCAAGTGACGTTCAACTTCGAGGTTTTGGGATCACCCCTTGAGCTCCAAAACACTTCATTCCATTCACTATATAACCTTTCATCGATCGAACCATTTTTTTATTTCCAAGCTTCACACCATCAAATTCATCTCCTCCATCATATCAATACTTAAAATTCAAACAAGAATCTAAACTTGTTCAATTTCTATAAACTTCTTTATCCACAAAATGGTTCAAGTCAGTTCACTCAGATCGATCATCTTGATCAGTGCCTTATGTTTAGCTACCACTTTAGCCACCGCTCCTAGTCCACCCCCAGCGGTAATTTTTTCAATGTTCTCTTAACCCTACGGTATAGAAAACTAAGAAAAGTTACTCTCATTCCTTGGGTGAATCTAGAACCCGATCGCGAACAGTAGTGCAACCAATGGTAGCAGTACTTACGATGATATAACAGCCGATGATCTCTTATCTGATAAACCACCTTCACCTGACGCCAAGCCAAAAGAAAATGCAACTGCAACTGCAACTGGAGTTATGTCCCCTGATGGGAAATGTACCTGTGCTGCTTCACCTTCTGGTAAGAACTTCTTGATTTTCAGAAAGAAAAACATCATGTTGACGAGTTCTTTGTTGTCTTTTTCGCAAATTTTTTAGTTGGATCCGGTGGACCTACTATGTTGGCTGCTACTGCGCCTAGTAAGTTGGATTCTATCACAAACCAATTGTATTCGTAATTAATATATTGATCTTTTAATAATTCATTAGAATCTCCGGATGCACCTCCACCTGCTGCACCTGACAACACCACCTCTCCAGCCCCATCTGGTGTAAGTGATTAAGCAATATTCTGATGTTTTTGGACGGCTCTATGAACTAATGACAATTCTTCATGTAGAATGAAACGAGCTCTACAATTAGTTTCAAGGACTCTGCCAATGTTTATTTCTTGGTAGCTGCTACTCTTTCTTCTATTCAAGTTCTTGCTGCTTGAAAGCAAACACATCCTTCATGTTTGTTTTCAACTTTCAACTTATTTGTTTCTGCTCCTAAAGAAAAAACAATGTGCTTTGATAGATTGTTCTCTTGATTCAAATACCTGTTCCTTCTTTGGAACTCCTCTTTTCATTGTTTTTCTCTATTGCGTTCTATATGTTTAGAGTTTCTTCATTCTTTTCGTAACTCTCGACTTTGATTTCAATGAAATCCTGAAATAAAATGTACCAAAAATTCCGATCCCCTTTGATCTTGTTCTTGTTCATGAACTGAGGCTGAGCTGAAAGTGTTGCAGCTGGTTGGAGTTACAGGGTGTTGAAGTATGACCTTGTGAAATACGAAACTTTCATCGATCTGTGACATTTGACCGGGTTAAATCGAGTCATCCACTTGAAGCTTCGTCAGTAACCCAAAGCTGATCGCTCATTAACCTTGGACAACATCTCAATTCTCAATCTCACCAAAACAAACCAAGCATTCAACATGACCTCAGTTTCAAACCAGTCTCATTTCAAGGTAAGCTGCCCGAACGTACAAATCTTTGGAAAAATACACGAATCCTTAAAAAGATCCTAATCCAATTCATTTCGCTCTTGTTCCCAAAAATACAAAAAGTTACCAATCTACGATCAAGAATCTAAAGAAATCGAACTGATAAAATCAAAATTGATCTTACAAGATGAAGTTGCATTAATAAGGAATCAAATTAGTCAACTTCAATTTACTTCTTCTAATCAAACTCAACTTTATTTAAACCGATGGTTAGATTTTGAAAAACGTGTATCTAATCGATTTAATCAATTGATTCAAAAAGATGAAATCAAACCAAACTCTTTAGCTTAGTTGAGTTTGCTTTCCCTGAACTTTATGTTTTATACGATTTGAATACTAATCCTTTCTTACGTTCTGTTTTGGGTTTCTAAGTATTGGAATAAGTACTTTGACAGGTTCAATCTTAACAAGAAACAGATCAATCCTACTAAGATTCTTCACTCCATTAACATTCTTAACAATCTCATTCTCAAACTTAATGCCACAAACTTTCAACAATTTGAAAACTTATACATTAAATTTTCAAGATCAACATTTTCCACAATCAGCTTTGATTAGGGATGATATTGTTTTGAAATCTCATCAAACTATCAATCATATGCATCAACTCAATCACTCTTTTTGGGATACTTTTCATGAAAAATTCAGGAGTGGTAAGGCACAAGTTTTCGATATGTTAGGTCTTAAAGTCGCTACTACTTCTTCTACTACCACTACTAGTTCTTCCAAAAATTCCCAGTCGTAGTAGAAAACTGGTTATTGGTATTGATCAAATTTAACTAGAGCAAAATTAAAGTTTATTCCCTTGTATTGAACGAAAAGAATCAATTGAAATTGATAACAGATTCATCAAATTTTTGGTTTCTGATCAGGAATCAAAATTCAGTCCCATTCTTCAAGATTTCTAGTTTGTAGGCTGGACATCCATATTTGTCTTGATAAGTGGGTTGGGTGACTCAAATAGGGGTTGCAAGCCTGATCAATGGTAGGGCTTTGAGTTAATAGTGTTAGGAGAGACCGAGCCACTATCAAATCGGCTACATAGACACCATGACTAACATCTTTGAAAGGAGATAACAACCTCGGAGGTATAATGTATCTGTTGATTTCAAATCCACAAATATCTATACCAAGAAGTTATATCACCTCTGCTCAGACTGTAAAGAAGCACTGGGGTGCAAAAGACAACAAAAGCACCTCTAACCAGTGGTATGGCTATATATTGCAAATCCATTACAAGCCCTCTATGGAAATGAAGTATGTTTCAAGAGTTTCTTCTTAAGCATTTTTAGTGGATTACAGAACTGTGATAAAGCCTTCTTGACAACTGAGTTGTTCACATCAGATGAAGCAGTCTTTAAATAAAACTTTAAAAATTGGACCAGAGCAAGCTCCTTTCCTTTACAAGAAAAGATTTCAACTTGATCAAGAAATTTCCTCATAATTATAGACATTTCATCAAAGTTCTGCAATACTAAGTCTTCTATTACCATTTGAAGAGGTTTGGTCTCCTCAAGGTTTTTCATCATTAGAAATATCTCAACATCTTAAAAAAAATTCATGAATTAGCTTTTCAGACAGTTTCACAGGACCAGGAGATTCACTTACGCCTTGCCCAGAAGTGGATAACCTTGATCTGATCCATTTTTGTTGTGTTTTGGGATATCTGCAATCCATAGGGACGGATGGAGTGTTGCATTGAGATAAAATCATCAATAGCCCTATAGAGTCCATGTTATTCAGGATCAGCAAGAACATCAAACTTTGTAAGACAAAAAACAACTCACTTGTCTTCTTTGAGAGATTGTATGTAATCTACTACGGTGTTGGAGTATGTCTGTAAAGTTAATTGAGCCCATGACTTGAATATTAGTGTCCCAGGCAGATCATCAGCTGAGATTGCAGTATCCAAAGACTTGACCGCTTCAATGAACTTGGTCTGCACAAATTGAGTTTCCAAAACAAATTGAAGTTGTGGCTTATGCCTTATCATTGAGTAAAATCTCACACTGTCTGTATGGGTGTTGGTGCTAGCATCAGAACATAATCCCAGATAAAAGAATGTATGTATGGCTCACCAGATAACCAGAATTGGAAAAGTGCTTTTTGATCTTCAGGGGACCAATTCCCAGCCAGGCATATACCATATTTTCCTAGTCCTTTCTGCATGGTTAAAAAGTCATGAAGGTCTCTGTAATACATATTATTTTGTTTCATTATATTTTCAGAAAAAGATCCCCCAATTGTGAAAGCTGTCCAGATAGTCACTCACTTTCCACTGAGCTTCTTGACATACTCCAAATATCTGACTCCATTGATATTCATAGTTTTTTTCAATTCTGCTTGCCATCTTTCATCTGCCATTGATGGTGGAGGATTTCCTTTCTCTAACATCTCAATTAACTTGATTTGAATCACTTGTAAGACTTTGAATGGTACTTCTTCTAATGTAAGAAATTGGCTTAGGATTTGCAAAAGTGCAATTTGCTCAAATGAACTACTCCAAGGCCCTTGGAGCTTGATTCTACTTAGCATATTCTTCATTTTCCCTTCCCAAAATCTCTTATCTGATATAATTAACTCATTTGTTTGTTTTACCAATTTTCTAAAATTCACTGGTTCATAAATATTTTGGTGTTTAATACTTTTAATTCCTGTCAGTCATATTTATTCTCTATCAGATCTTCTTATTTGATCTGTTATTTTCCTTTTGAAGGTTGTATGGATTACTCACCTTTTTTCCAAAATCTTTTGATATCATTAGATTGTGACTTTGTCAACTCGGCTCTATGGTCTAGGTTATTAGAGAACTCTTTCCAGCTTATTCTACTCTTGCTCTTTGGTATTTTACCTGATTTGAAAATAATGGAATGTTGGAGATGGTTTTAGAAAGCTTTAAATATTGTGTTTGATAACCAAGAGATGAGATTACCTACCCATCATTGGGGTGTTTTCAACAATATATCTCATAAATCTCTCACCAAAGTTGATCCCCACCTCCTGCGCTAAATGAGCATAAAGATTTGGTAGTATCAATGAGTTGATTGTGATAAACCATAAGCACTTCTTCATTTTGCTATAAGATGTCAATTTCTAACTTTTATTAATTAATAGATTACTCTGAATTTAGGAAGGAGTCTTGCTCAAGGGTTGAAGTGGAATGCCACAATTAAAAAAATAGCCACACAATCAACCTGTTATCTTTTAACGTGATTGGTATATATGCACATTTTTTTCCATACAATTTGCTCTTCCAGTCTCACATTTTGCTGCATGTGACAGTAGCTGAGACCGTTGTACCACTAGTTCAAATATTACAATTCAAGCTGTTCCATGAATGTTTGAAAGACCCCATGATTACTTAATGTTTTACTGGCTTTTGAAATCTGAGGTATGTCCTCCAAAAACATATGTTATGTAAACAGTATCTTCTCTGTACCTGGTTTTCAAGCTGGGCCTCACCCTGCCACACCTTCATAACACTCACCGAGGCTATACATAAAAACTGTATCATTTCTCCTTTTCACTCTTGTCAATGCTACATTACTGCTCATTCTTGTTCAACTTGTCTTTCCTGTGTATCTTTGATGAAATTACCCTATGACTGCATACACTTACCCTATCTGTGCCATGTTTCTATTGGCTTTGTATTATCTTTCTGATACCTCATATAGTAATTAGCTGAATATGAATCATGATATAATTCAAGCAAGTAAATCAAATTCTTTCTCATTCTATACATAGATTGTTTTGACTGGGGTCTTCAGTTTGAATCTCAGCTTTGTCATTTTAAAGGTCTCCATCAACTTTTACTTCTATCATCACTGGTATTTTCAGCTCCTTATGTATTGGTTTTTAATTTTAGGCAAAATGAATCAAATCATTTTGGTCATTTTACACAGTATATATCTTTTGTTCTTTACTTAATCCTACTTGTGTCTTGGGATAAAAACATCACCTTTAATTGAATCAAGGGCTGTGTGTTAGTGAAGAAATTCATAAAAATCTGAGTATTTTTTTGGCCAATTGACAAAAATTGCAAGACTTTGATCACAACATAAAAACCATTGGAAATCCATGGCCTTGCATCAAGCTTGACACTTGTTTAAGTTCAAATTGTCAGTAAAAGATGGAAAAATGTCTAAGATACAACTGAACCTACCTGAAAATTCTACTTAGTAATTCTCAATTTGAAAACATGATCAGGAAGCCTCACCTGGGAATCAAATTCCTAAAATGGATTTATTTTTTACTAAATATCAATAAATCAATTTTGACAGGCTTCACAAAGTTTCTTAAAACATTGTCTTTATTGATGTTTGCATAGGAAAACAATCATGTACAAACATCTACATATGGTATATTTGTTGTACTGCTTTATAAATTATCAAGATCTCTTAAGCCTGATTCCAACCTCTAACCATACCCTCTGACTCTGAGACATGAGTCCAATGACCCTAAACCTTCCTATAGAATCACATATGTACAATATCCCAATCTTTAAATTTAACTAAATTAGTCATTCTAAATACATATATAGAAATTTAACCATCCAGACTTCATCACTATAAATTATTTTATTTCATTAAACTTATCATCTTTGATTTTTTCCCTTTGCTTTGCTTTTCTTTTCTATCCAAAGAAAATCCTTCTTGAAATACATAAATAAAAACCATACCAAAAAAAAATCAAACCAATTTATAAAAACTTACCTTCAGAAGAAAATAAAACACACATATACAGCCATTCCGATATTGCTTGTCGCACCTGTTTGAAAAAGAAAAAGTTTGTGAGCTTGAAACCTAAGTTTTAACCGGCTAAAACCTGGAATTTGGCTGTATTGCCTTGAATTACAGCCAAGTTTGAAGTTTTATTGAGTAAAAACAGGTAAAAACTTAGGTTTCACTTTTTCTTTTTCAAACCGGAGCGACAAGCAATATCGGAATGGCTGTACCTTCTAAAAATAAAAGAAAAAAGATATCTAAATCATTTTTCAATCAGAAGTCAATAAAGTTCTTTTGATTGATCAATTAAGACCAAGAAAACAACCAAAACAACCTCTTTTTCTAAAATCTTTTTATTACACAATCACCAATAAACTTAAAAAAATCAAAATCAAAACTAAAACTAAAAGTACAACTTCAAACCACTTGATCATCAACCTTCAAACCAAACCCCTCTCAATATTCCTCTTTGGCTTCCTCCTTCAAAGTTCCAATCCCCAAGCTCCCAACAAACCACCCAATCCAACCCAACCTCACCAAAAAATCCATTTTTCAATTCTTCCATCTTATAGATTTGAATTCAAAACAACCTAGCCAAAGAAGCCGCCGCACTCTTAGCATCCACCTTTGACCCAAACTCATCATCACCATTCCTCAAGGTCCTAATACCCTGAGCCATGAAATTAACCCTATACCTCTGTTGATTTGCATTCCTACTTCCATGTCTCTGATGGGAAGCAGACTGTTGATTCTTATCGACCAAAGTTTGATGAATCATACTCTCTTCGATCCGATCTTCATCTAGGCTTGTCACCCTATCTTTCGATTCATATTTAATCTCTAATGGTTTTAATCCAATCGAATCAACTATTGATTTTAGTTTGGTAAACTCTTTTAAGATTGAGGTTTCATATATTAATTGAGTTCTGGAATTTTCGATTAAACTAAATAATAAATCGTCATGTAATTGTTTGGAATGTGTTCGTAAGGCTGGTCTTAGGTTATTGGAGATCATCGTGGCTTTTTCGGATAATTGTTCTTCTAATTTCTTAGCCTATAGAAATCAAAAACATTTCATCAATCAAAAACCATTTTCATCATATTTTTTTTCGTTTTCAAATTGGAGATTTTGATGAGAAATTGGATTGAAAACTTACTTCTTCTAATTCATCTAAAGCCAATTCGACTCTCTCACTAACCACTTGACCCGTACTCGACTTAATCCTCTCAATATTCCTTCTCTTCTCAATCGATTTCTTCACCGCACTATAATGTTCATCCAACAAACTAGCTCGATTCTTTAAAACTTCTTTGCCAGCTTTCGATTCTACCGAACACCATCCAAACCCATCTGCCAAAGTGACCAAAGAACCAATAGCCAAACCAGTTTCAGCTACACTCAAGTTTCTTAGTCCATCTGCCAACTTTTTAAACCCATTTGATAAACTTGGATGAGATTCAGTAGTAGAAAAAGAAATGAATTTCGTTGAGAGATCTTGATGAGCCGAAGATAACGTTCTAGTCACTCTGGCTAAACTTTCGACTTTACTTACTACACTTCCTAATCGATCTTCTAATAATCTAAACTGTAATCTAGCATTCGATAACTCATCTTCTTCTACAATCGAGACGATCATCTCTGGTTTACCAGTGATCCCATTAACATTTGTAGAAGATAAAGCTCTTCCAGTAGGTAAGTTTGAAGAAGTAGGTGATTTATGATGAGATGATAATGGATTAAATGAACCGAACCCTCCACTCGGATGACTTGTGAGCTTTCGTTTCGATCGTGTTTGGGGTGTGTACCCAAAATCAGATTCTAGAAAGATTCGTAACTCGTCATCGGTTCGTAAGGATTGGTCTTGGAGTAATCTATCAAAGAATTGTTGGAAGGCTGAGGCTACTAATCTATCATCGTCTGCTGGATTAGGTGCTGATGTACTATTTTCAATCAAAATTCAAAATCCAAAACCAATCCAAAAAAATCAGTTTCAGTTTCTTTTTGTTTCAAGTTTTTTTGTTGGTTTTTTTATTTTTTTTGAAGAGAATTCAATAACTCAACTTTGGAAATGGAATAGGTGGTACGATCGTATGAGGATTATTAGCCGAAATAGATTCATAAAATAATAAAAATTCACGATAAGATCTTGAGATATTCGAACAATGACCTGATCGATTCGTAATTAAATTTGACTAAAAAACCAACACCCCCCACACACACAAAAAAAACACATGTCAATTTAAGTTTCTTTGGGTTTTGATTTGTTTTGTTTTTGGATGAGAGGTTTTACCCATGCATCGAATTTGATGTATAGATCACGACGGTTTCTTTCGACATTAGAAACACGAATTCTAGTACTCGGTTCTTTTGATTTAACTTGAATTTGATTTGAACTTGAGTTTGGGTTTTGGTTAGGGTTAGAAGAAGTAGTTAAAGATTGATCGATCAAAGAAGGTCTACGATTTTCTTCTCTAGTAGGACTACGAGGTTCTCTACTGATTTGAGAAGTAGAATGAAATCTTTGAGAAGTACTAGTAGCTGAAGTAGGACTCAAACTAGAATGAGTTTGATGATAGAGTGATTGGTTTGAGATTTGATGATTTGATGGTGATAGTGATGGAGGTGACTTTGATCGGTTTGGCCATATGATTGATTGTGATTGAGATTGAGATGGTGGATTGATTGAGTTTGGTTTTGAGAATGGTGAAGTAGGCCAGTTTTGATTAGTATTCAGATGAGTTGGAGTGATGGGATGATGATGATGATGACTAACTAAGACTGATAGATGTGGTTGAGGTTGATTGAATGAGTTACTGTTTAATGGATCCATCCTTCAAATCAAATCAAAGTAGTGGTAGTGGTAGTGGTAGTGCTGCTTCAAGTGCTGCTGCTGGTTCAGTGAGGGTAACTTCAAATTCAAAACACTTAAAATTTAAAACTTAAACTTAACCAAACCAATCATTCCAACCCAACCTCAACCCACCAACTCATCCAATCCAACCTCATCACCATGAACAAGTAAGCATTTCCACATCAAACCACTTTCAAAAACCACCAACAAACTAATCATCCAACTATTTTCAGTTTAACTCATAGAGGAGATCCAAATAGAGATAGATCTGCTCTCTTTTCAAGTAATTCAAATCCAACTACAACTACAAATTATTCTTCGTATAAATCTATCGAATCTTTGGAATCCCAAAACGATCATGACTTTGAAGGTTTATCTGCAAAAGTTAAATTATTAAAAGAAGTTGAGTTGATCTTTTTGAAATAAAATAGCTTCAGGGTTTTGGATTGATTTGGGTTGGGAATGGTTGGAAATAGATTTCAATTAATATTGGTACAGAAGTTAAAGATTCGTCTAAACTCATGTCAAAGATGGTATTCATTTGTCTTTCTGTTTTTCTCTAAACCCAATTTCATACTGATTCTTGATTTTTTTTTTTCTTGGGGGGCATCTTTGTCTTTGGGATTCTTTTTGGTTTTTTGTAGAATGATTCGTTTTTTGAAGCTACGGGTCTTTTATCCGGTACATTTAAAAAAATGAATAAGATGTCAGAAAGACAAACGGGTAGATGGTGGTATTGTACATCATCATCATCTTGATCTCTTTTTCTTGATTTAATCATTGAGGGTTTCGGTTTTTTTTTGCAAAAATAGGGATGTTGTTTTTGATTATCGTCTTTTGGGTTTTTGTTTTGACTTGGTTGTGAGTCTTTTGAATTTTTTATGAATTGATTTGGTTTACTTTTAATAAGATTTTCATTCGATTTTTGATTGATATTTGAATGGTTTTTTTTCTTAGGTGGAGACATTGAGTTTTCATTATTTCATTGATTTCTTGGTTTTTTATATCTCTTCTTTTTTTTCTAAATCATCTTTGACTTTTTTCCTTCCTATTCATCAAATAAACAACAGAGTTTCTATTTCTTTTTTACCAATCTAAAGCTATTTCTTTTCTAGTGAATATTTAAATTCATTTTATGTTCATATACTTCGATTTCGTTCTTCTTTTTGTTTTTGGTAAAGTTGATTTGTTTTGTTAGAAGGGAAAGTATGATTGATGAATTATAAAAAAACATATATATAACCAATGAAATTCAATTTATAAGATTTTTGAAAATTCCATTGATTCTGATTAAAGGTTTTACAATTTGAAGTATTTCAAGATCTCAAGAAGACCTCCTAATCCAATCTTGAGCATAGACTTTCAAGGGTTGTCTTCACTTAAAGCAATTTCTAGAATCTAGACACAGATCTTTACATTCTATAAAATGCAAAAACTGAACCATACTCAAATTTTGTAGGATGTAATTTCTGACCAGAAATTAGGCTTAATTCGAACACACCCTTAAACCAGCTGGAAGTTGTTCTCTCTAATATTCTGGAGCTCAACAAAGGAGGTCGGGTGAGACGAGATGGTAGGAAAGCTAGATAAGAGAATCTTGTTTTAAATCATAAAGATCTAGAGGAGGTTCATCTAAGATTTAAAAAAACATGGACTAGACTTGTATAAGTTTTGTTCCCTACTAAACTGGATATTACCAATAGAAACAATTGGAGAGTTTCTACATGCACAACAATTTATCTATCCATATAATTGGAGTGCGCTCATCAAAAGATCATTGTTCAATGAAAAAGGAAAGTGGTATGCAGAGCAGGCACTCTCTTCCAAGAAATTTATATCGAAGACACAAGATCCATATATCATTCAGTACCCAGCGTTTAGTTGGAGATAAAAGAAGAGTAGTGGTCTCAGAAAACTCCAATGAATTTAAATAAGTGCCGAGATCGTTTAGGGAATGTTTATATTCCATCTCGACACCAAAAAAGAAATCGGTTCTCACTGACACAACAGTTTATCAATAGCTCAAAATCACTTATACAACAAATATAACTGTGAAGATGGAAGACAAGAGGATGAGAAAGATTGTGCGTGTTTTGTTTTTGGGAGGTTTCTTAGTTTAGTATCCTAGAGTTCATTTATGGTTTCTTTGTGAGTTATTGTTAGGATCGGATTGCGAAGACTTAAGATTTGTCTCGCGCTACATCTCTATTCGGTTTCCTGTTTTTTTAGAGATGATGATTGTAATCTGAGATAGCGGATAGAGAGAGAGGTTCTTCAACGATTTACTCCTCCCCAGGCTGGTACCCTTTGATGAGCATCTGGATCAATTTGCCTTTGAATCGAATGACTCATCATCAGTGTGATAATAATGATACAAAAAGATATTTCTAAATCACATACGTTTGTCTCGATGGTTGTCCAAGAGTAGAGTTATGAATCTCATCAATCGAATCCGAACGTTTTCTTCGTAAATCATTAGAGTCTGGTATCGAATTTGGAAAAGACCTTTCGGCTTGACAAATAAAATCGTATGCCTTTTTTTTGTAATATCCAAGTAAATATTTATACAGATTTGTCATTTGTGAGCATTCGAGCTTTTTTTGTAATTTTTTTCATGTTTGGAAAGGAAATTAAATTCGATAATACTTACATCTAATTGACGTAAGAAACCTAGATTTGGAGATGCACAGAACCGTCGACTTTGAATAAACCTAAAAGTTAATGTGTTGGAACCAAAAAATGTCAGAGTCTCGAATTAGAAAATCTTGAAGCAAAGAAAAGAGAGAAGAGAGAGAAGAGAATGAACTTCACTGGAATGCATCTTCAGATGTCATTTTATATCTTGACATAGCATAAGCAGTTCTGTTTTTACAATTGTCGACCATTAATAAAAACGAGAATTTTTTTATTAGATGATCACTAAAAAGAAATGAAAAGATTCATGACGAACGCCACAGCTGGTGATCTGCTTAATCCATCCCCGCAATGTACCAAGACTTTTCCACCTGAATTGACACATCCATTTATGAATCGCAAAGCTCTAGATAAAGATATTGAAAGAGAAAACTGTTAAGGATTTGACCTGACTTTAGAGAATCTTCCGGACTTGATGAGATTTTTTACTTACTCAGGGAAAATTGAAATCAAGTTTTGATCTGTTGCATCTCTAATATCAAGTACACAGTACTGAAATTGACGAGGGAACCTAGGTTTAAGTAAGTGACTGTTCCAAAAAGAAAATAGGTAGGTTAAAAAGATTGGAATGTTTTGTTGATGGTCTTCGAAAGGAGTTTGACTTAACGATTCGCGGTTTTCGGATATACAACATATATGAGTAATCGATGAGCTTGTTAAAGCGTTTAGATCTTTGGAAGCTTGGTAAGGTCCAACGAAAACTGAAGGTAAGACTTCTTGTGCTTCTCTTCTCATCTCATATCTATTTAAAAAAACCCATCAAAAGTTAATGAAGACAACTCAGATAAAAACATGACCAAAAAAAAGTAAATGGTAGGTTCTGGTACTCAACTTCCAATCGATCGATGGACCGATTGCTTCAAGTAGTTCGGATGGATAAGAAGGATTCATGTGGAAAGGTCTGTTGAAGGTACCTGCGAAGTATCTTTGACGAAGAATGTGATCCGGTGGTAGACCAGCGACACCTGGATTCATTTCTAACTGATATGTATTGTATGTGACAAAACCCGGCCCTGGGTGTGTATAATTATGTACGGTCTGAGATTGGAATTTCGAACTGAATTTGTATTGGGAGCCGCAATGTTTTAAGAAAGAAAGGATTGAGGAGGAGGAGGAGCAAGAAATCATGAATTCCTTCAAATTATCTTTGTCTCATACACATGTGCAGAAATTCGTAGAAGGAGAGGCCCACGTTTGGGATCAGAAGGTATTGCAGACAGCTCCAAACACATGGGTTGGGTTGATACCAGCTGAGAAGACCTGATAATGATATCACTTATGACCACTTTTTGGTCAAGTGTTTTCGATTCTCTGGTTTAGTCCATAAAGAGTCCATGATATCATATGATATTTAATCTGACTTCATGGAATACCCTGTTGGTATTTCGTGGCAGGCGACTTTGGAAGTAGTTCCAATGAAATAGCCACAAACTACATTGTGATGATGATAAGATATCTTGCATTGCAGCACTTCGACAATAATCCTTCCTAATATAATACAAAGACAAATCTGTCCAAAGTCTCATGAAACTATTTTTTCAAAATATTTAGAACGCTTCCGTCAACTTCGGAATATGGAGATTCTTTAGAGTCTAAACCATAATTCCAATAAAGTCAATTGTAGATTGTTCCTTCAATCACTTATCTCCATGAAACTAATCAGATAACAAAAGTCATATGAGGAAATTAGTAGGATCAAAAGTATTGACCCGTGATGGAACTCTTTTCTAGTGAGTCTTATGTTCAATAGACCATCAAACCCAACTCTTGACATTCTTTCAAATTCGAGGGCAAGCTGATCAAACTTTGAAGCTTTCCTTCCTTGGACCCTGTTACTCGGCCTATCCTCCTGGAGATGTGCTATGAAGCACCTATTTTGATATCTCATAGGAGTGTATAGCCTCATTGCTCATAAAGCGTCTTTGTTCATCTTGGATGAGATTTGGGAGCATAGATTGGGACCCCAGCATCCTGACACGCCTTTGCTGTCCGGACCCCTCTTTCCCGCGCTTCTTTGACCACTACATACCAAGATGATGAACAAAGATAGATCCAAGATCAGAACAAACGTTATTTTGAGTCTTTTATTTATTTAGATGGAAATGATAGAAAGAAAGATAATTCAAACCCACCTTGTTCTGTACAATCGCAGACCGGGAGATTAAAGATACACTCCGTGTTAATATCTAGTGGTAAACCCCTGTAGAAATGTAGGATCAGTATTACTATGGGTATCGCATTATATGAAGAAAAACGATAACCTACGCTTCAGCATATGGATCATACTCGTACTTTCCGTACTTCTTCTGACAGTTCCAGGCCGCTGTGGTCAAGAATTCTGGTGTGAAACCGTACTTGGTAGCGATTTTTGAACTACCAAAGAATTTCTTGATCGTTTTAGTTCCATCTGCTTGTACTATATTCATCATTCTGATCAAATTTTTGGTTGGAAGGGGATGCAAAAGAAACCGACATTTCAGTAAATAGTGTCATTCTCAATTAACACGGCCTTTCACTTAGTTAGCGAAGAGGGAGGTGGCCTACATTCCGGTATTGTCGCAGTAAGACAAAACTGATGGACCATCAAAAGCCCCGTTAGGTCCTGAATGATTACAGGGATCCTTTAAGTGGAAAAAGTAGTGTCATGAAGGTATCAGAGACAATCTATCGTGTTCCAAAGGAATGCTCATCGTCTTGAAATAGAAATCACTTACACTTCCTCGAAGGATAAAAATACTCTGCATATCTCGTCAGTTTGACTCTAGACAGTCATTTTCATTAAACCAAAAAACTGGCAAACCTGAGATTTCAATACAGCCGAGAGAAGCCGTAATGTAACAACCCGTTCGTATGCGTTCAAGGCTTCTGATTCTGGAGGACTCAATGGCGCTTCCAAAAATGCACCATTCTGTAAAGCGCCATACATCCCCTTTTGTGTACTTATACCAGCTTGTAAGACTCCAAGGGTGTAGTTTGCAATCATCTGTTGTGTACGATCTTGCATCATTGACAATGTCCAAGAAAAATCTGCCCACTATACATAGGTATCCAGTAGACCAAAGAGGTGATCATGAGTTACGGAAGATAACGAATATGAAGGCTAGAGAGTTTATATACATACATACCTTTGTATAACCGCTAATCACATCTGGAGGATCACGCATCGTATTTTGCCAAAGTCCGATCTCCGAAACTGTAGTGTATAGAAATCCTTGGATAGTTAAATATACCCATATTCCACAACCGGGAAAGACCCAACCAGGTACGATTCCTGTACTCGAAGCTAATACTCCAATAAGGCTTCATAGAAAAATATATAGATGCACACCATCAGTTGTTTCTTCTTTAAGTCAAACATACGCTAAACTTGAAGTTGATAGAGGTAATTTTACGTGGCAGTTTTGATTATTGTGGCGCTTCGTGGTGGGCTCAGATCTGTGACCTGCGTAAAAGAAGCGTAAGTTTATAAGTGTGCCATGGATAAGGACGTCCATGAATCATATTTCGACTCAAACGTACCATTGCAGGAGCTATCTCTAGTAGGGCGGATGGACAACCAAAGATCAGATTCATATCTCAGGCGGGTTTGAGGCATTAAGTGTGGTACACATTTGGTTATGAGACTAACCCTGCACGCGTCCGACTCTGGAGTTTTCACAACAATTAGTGTGACTGAAAAGATTGGGTGGTGGAGTTTTTTTAAAGACTCACGCAAATGCGATGGATGTGTAAATTGAATTCATGAGATCATTCCAATTCTGGGTTGCTACCAGAATATACCATGCCGGAGCTTGTGCTCCACTGCACAACTAGAGGAATAACCAATTGTAAGGCAGTGATGAGATGAAGTGTAGCTTACTATCTAGGGTCTGTGAGGTGGTGTAGATTACACTCACTTGTCCTACATCACACGACCGCCCGATTCCGCATGCCAAATTGGTAACGTTCATAGAGTTTGCGTAAGCCTGTAAGACATCGGGCTCGTCAAGTTTTGGTTTGCCGTTCTTGTGAAGAGAAGATCGAAAAGTGTATCCGATTCCAAATATACAACCAACGATAGAGTGGAGCCACCGGTATAATCTTCAAGGTATTCATTGAGGTCTAGATCGGTCCAGAGTTGTTTGTTCAAAGGTCGCTTGACACAGCTAGTACGTGCCTCTAACAAGGTGGCATTCACAGGATTTTTTGAGCCTTTGAGACTGGTTACTTTGGTGTTGGGGTAAGCGAGCTGTGCCAGGACGACCTGGATACTTGAGCAGAAAAAGATTAGGTCCCAAAATCTGAGGCATATCCTGATGGGTTGGATGGATCCCATGATATGGGACTGTGCCAGGGAAAGTGCAATCTTATGCACGACTAGCGGAATGCGGGGTTTCAAGATGGAGTGAGTCGGTAAGAAGTGAGTGAAGCAGCGCGATGCTTATTCTGTTTGTATGAGGATATGAATGAGGCCATCGAGGAGGCCTCTGTCGTCATTTTGTTTCTGATCATTCCACTTTGATAAAACACATTAGAACTGGTTAAGCAGTCGTTCATCAAGCTTGTTACCGATTCAGTATTTGAGTAGATTTGAGTCCATTTTTTATCCGGAGTTTTATGTATTACGATGAGCCAACGTTCTTCGTCAAAGACCCATCGGAGGTATCGTCACAAGGAACGTCGTCATGAATCCTTCTTATCCGTCGAAACTACTTGAAGCAATCAGTCCATCGATCGATTGGAAGTTGGGTACCAGAATTTACCATTCAATTTTTTTTGTCATGATGATGTTGTCTGAGTCGCCTTCTGACTGAACCCTTCACCTCATGATCACTATCATTTGAACAACCCCCCTCGCCATTTAGGTTTATGTTAATCTTTCAATTTTGTATCAAAAATAAGCTATCAAACACTACACCAACCTCCTGATCCTTTCGATCCTAATTGCTTTTGATGAATCTAAACAGATAGACCAAATTTCATCCTAGTTCTCACACTCTAAGGGCACGTTCACTTAAGGGAATTCTGACCAGAAATCACATTCTGTGAATTTTTTAATCCAAAAATGAAACATGCACCACCAAATAGACACTTTAAATCTTGCAGAATGTGATTTCTCCCCAGAATCATTCATACATATTTAGGGTGTTCAAACCTGTGCAAGAAATGTGCAAGACCGACGTGCAAGATCCGTGCAAGATCCGTGCAAGATTTTTTGCACTAATCTTGCACAGTAATTTTTTTGACAACCCCACTCTAAGGGCACGTTCACTTAAGGGAATTCTGACCAGAAATCACATTCTGTGAATTTTTTAATCCAAAAATGAAACATTCATATCTTGCACAGAACTTGCACAAAACTTGCATGAATTGATTTTGAGGTTTGAACACCCTAATTAACAGAGAACCATCAATTCAAACAAAACTGGACAAAACCTCCCTAGCAACCTACCATTTCAGACTTAATGTCCAAAACTCATGTAAATCTTGGATTACGTTATAAATCACATCTCATACAACCAGGGTAACCATCAAACACAATTTATTCAAACGGTGTGCTTTCTAACCACAATTTCTTCAACAACAATTGAATGTTCTTATCTTGAGCACTGATAAAGCATTTGACATTATGATCACCAGAAACCTAATAAAGTCTGTTGCCCTTTTGTCTTTCATCACAGATCTTACAACTATCAGAACACGATGAATTGAACATCCAGAACGCTATCTATAAAATCCAAATCTAACCCAAGTTTTGAGTTACCCTCAACTGAGATATCAAATGATCTGGCTCAACGAACTTCATCTCTCTTTGCTTGGAACTTCATTTTGCTCTGGTGAGTCTGCTATCGTATCTCCTTTTCAACTCTTTGATTCAGTACTAGCTAACTTTCTTCTTGATTATTTCTGGTTTCTTGATTTTTAGCTTCACATGTCCATCAACATTCATCCAAGCTTTACTACCTCATCAAATTAGACATCAAAGAGGATAAGACAATGATTGTTTGATTGGATTGGGCTCGGTTCATGACAAAAGTTGAATCAAGAAAGACGATGTGGTGATCTATTTATGATATCAAGCAAGAAAATTAATCATCTTTACTTTACCAATTTATTAGCAAACTTCAATATAGCAGAGAATTCGAAATTCAGGTTTTCAGATCAATTGAAGCTCTTAGAGGCTTATGTATACTTATTAGATCATTATTATGTCATCTTATTTCAAAATTATTATTAAGATCAACATAGTTTACTTACAAAGTTATTACAAAAAGACAGAAAAAGAAAAGATAAGAAAAATTCAAAAATATAGGTGTAAAAGTTGGAAAATGGTTTTTAGCTTATTTATAATTAAGTTATGGGTTTTATGAGGTGAGAATATGAAAGAACAACAGTTTATTATACAGTAACAATTTTAATCTTCTAGGTTGATAAGGGAAAACAGAAGTTATTAGCAGAAAGGTACTTTTTCGAAGTTGGTAAACAAGGGTTATGCGTGTAGTTTACATATGTAATGGTGGTAGTAGTGGAAATTAAGGTTGCCAAGAGGATTTTCCGGGATTTTTAAGGTTATAGAAGATGATGTCATATTACATGAGCAAGAAAAAGAGAGTAGCAGCTGTGAAAAGTGGAGAAAATGGGTGAAATTCGTGGAAAATGGAGGTTTTCAGCTAATTACATATGTCCATTGACGTCAGAATAGATTGATAGATGGCTCATTCAACGCAGAAGAGGGGATTACATAATGTACAATCTTTAAATCATTAGTAGCGGAGGTGTATGTAAAAAGGTATAAGGCAAATAAGAAATTGGTGTGAATCTCGAATTTACAGTCACAAGTCAACATGTAACACCAAAAACCTTAACTTCACAACTCAATATCTTACTCATCACTCATCAGAAGTAGTTTATGTAGGTGTCAGAAATGATCAGTAACACGTGGGCTACAAGATGCACTTTAGTAATCAAAATTTGAAGCACATCTGAAAAAATTTGTAATCTCAAAAATTGGTTTTCAGCTAGTTTACAAGGAAAAAATCACCTGTATTCATCATAAAAAGTGCTGTACATCATATTATTGCGTCATTGATCACTTTTGGCTGTGAAAATTACATCATACATTAGTAACAAGATCATTACATTGCGTCATTACATGGTTTTTAGGGTTATTTAGGCGGATTTGATTAGTTTTTGAAGCTGTTGACTGTTTTAAAAGTTGTTACATGTGGATATAAGTACTCATTGATGATTTTAGGATTGTAGCGCCCTTTTCTGCATCTTATACCTTTGTTGTAGTGTTATAAATCATCATTTATTTACTATATTTGTACTAAGATCACTTAAATCCGCCCCTTCAAAGCAAGGAGAAATTTATTTACGTGTGTTAAAGACTACAAGTCAAATTGGGAATAATACTTACAACAGTATTGCTAGTAATAAACATAGTGTGTGACTTTTTTTTGCGCTTAAAATCTGGGAATAATACTTACAACAGTATTGCTTTATTTTCTCTGGTGCTTTATCTATTTCTCTGTTATCATAAAGTGGTCAGCAAGTGCCCCTGCGCTGATTTCTTTGAAGAAGGCAGTCTTTAGGCACCTTCTACTATGTTACACGTAGTAGATTATCCCTTCTTAGGTGTTGTAAAGCTCTTGTTGAGCTTTAAATACTACAACGATCAAGAATTAAACAATTCATGAAGAGTCTAATCGTGATGTTCAAAAATCGAGTCAAACTACTCATAATCAAAATCCAGCTTTAATCAGTAAGCCATCAAATCAATCTTTTCTTCCAATTCAATCTCCATTACCAAGCAGACCTTTATCTTCTTCAGCTCTTAAAGGCTTCAATAGCATCGCTTGAACTCAAACTAATTTCAACTACATTACCTTCATTCCCTTCTATTCCTGACTCGATTTCATCATCATCTTCAATAGACTTGGAAATTGATCAATCAAATTCAAATGATTTGCTAATTCTTTTACTCATCCAACATCTCACTTCAATCTCACTTCAAGCTCATTCTAATGATTCACTTCAAAAATCACACACAACTCTGCTTTGGATCCTGCATGTATGGTGGTTAGCAATGTTGTTCTTTCTTATTAGCATTAAGAGAAATGTTAAGACACTTCATCATAGCCTCAAACACCAATAGAATTCAAAGTTAACGCTTAGAAGAAGAAGATGGAAACCAAGAAGAATCAATGATAATAGAAGATGGACAAGATTGGATATGTACATTTTTTTTTAAAAAAAATTAATTCATTTACTTGAAGTACCAATAGACAAAGTAGGTATCAATGTTTGGTATTTAAATCTCTGGTAATTGTCTTTAAAGAATTCGATAGATTTGATCAACTTGATTGCTGACCTCTTTCTTTAGTTTATTAGATATTGTTCAAGGTAGTAAAAGAACATGTGGGATTTGTGTGATTGGTAAAACTGCTTCTGTGGTAAATTTTTTGTTGATTATTTTGAAAAGGGAAAGAGTATTTTGAGTGAGATGGTTTTATTTTTTCCTTTGTAGTATCTTTGTTCAAATAGATCAGGAAAAAGAGTTAAGTCTAGATTTAAATCTAGAATCCAACAATTGTTTTTGCCTATAATTTTGAGCAGAATGAAAAAACCCGACTAAATCACTTTGAGTTGAGAATGAAAATGAAGAAAATGCAAGTTTTATTAATCACTGGAATGATGAACTTCATATCTGTTTAGAATTAGATTGTGTTAAGGCTTGGTTGGAAAATCTGTTTGGATTGATATTCAATTGGATACCAAACATTTTATAAGTGATATAAGTTAAGTTCATCAATTCTTCATAAACCAGATTTCTATTGTTTTAGCAAAGTATTGTTTGTATTCTTGCTTTTTGTTTGATAACAATAAATTAATTGGTATGATTTCCTATAAATTCATAACCAAAGACACAATAAAATCTACAATCCTAACCAAATCATTCCCATTCAAAAACTTGAAGCTTTTCCTTCAAACTTGAGAAATTTGTTATCAAAAGCAACCAAGCAATGGTGGAGTGGCCTGGATATTAAGGCCCTGTTTGGTATATTAATGATGTTCTGATCTGACTATTTTTTGATAGAAAGAGTTTCTCATAATCTAACTCAGAATTTTGAAAATCTCACCTTTTAACTTTTTTTACTTAGAACATGTGTAGATGTACCAATTGAGTATTATGAGGTATATACGCACAATCAAGTCAAACCAGTTCATCAATTCATAATGTGAGCAGCCAAAGCTATTGTCAAACCTGCAGTACACTGCACAGATGTAGTATTTTTCCACTATGCTAAATGATTAAAATTAATGTCAAAAATGATTAAAAATGCTGTGTTAATGCAGAAAAATGCACCATTAATGCAGAAAAATGCAGCATCAATGCAGAAAAATGCAGTCTTAATGTGCATGCAAAATGAATGCAGAATTCCATGTTTTTCAATTTTGTTTGTCCTTCAGGTCAATCATTTTTCACTTGGGAGAAATACTGCATCTTCCCAGTGAGTAGGAGTCAAAAAGACAGCACCAGATAAAGCCACAGTAAATGAATTCAGATTGAAGAAAATGTGGTTGTAAGTAAACCCAAGAAAGTTAAACCATAAGTCAATATTGATTGATTTATAGATCAACAGATGTAAAAATCTGACATATTCCGAATTGACCAGTTTTTTGTGAAGCAATTCCATGTACACAAATTCCAAAAGATGTACCAGGTTGGACTTCTCCAATACCAGTAGGTAGACACACCCAAGTAGATCAATGTAGAAATCAAGCCTAAGTTATTGATCAACCTGGCAAACTTGAATTTGTCTTGATGCCTAATGAAAATGATCAAGGAACCAAACATCTGGATATTTATGAGTTTAACACACCTGAGGTTGTACTTGTAATGTGTGATACTGCCAATGTGGGCCTCCAAATATGTTACAGTTCTGGATGATTTACTGCTTAACACACCTGAGACTGTACTTGGAATGTTCAATACTACTTATGTGAGCCTTCAGATACGTAACATTTTGGATGGTTTAATGAGATTTGTTTGCAAGCTCCAAAAAACACACAGTTTTAGGAGCGGCTCAGTTCCAAGGTGTGCTCCAGAACCAAAGATCCAACAGATACTTGACAGAGCATCTGTGGGACTGGGATGCTGGAAAGCCCTTCAAGATTGTCAGTTGGTTTGTCTGCTGGAATGGCTTGAACACGTCAGACACCACAGTTGAATTGTGTACTCAGATACCCAGACCCAGGTTTTGGCCATATTCATTACTCGCCTGTCTTGATTTCTGTCATTGCTTTTTTGCCTTAAAAACATTGGGATAATTGCTTCACAAAGTATATTTGACCAGCTTGAAGATGGTTTTCAACCAGAGGAATGTTTCAAAAAACTTGTTGTCAGAACAAGTAATTGAATGTTTGAATCAATCAGTAAGATAAACAATTAAATCTCAATTGTCATTTGAATCAATCAAATGAACTCCACCTTACCAGTTCTCTTTGTCATAAATCTACAATCACCCTCAAGTGGTATCACTTTGATATGAAAAGATACCAAGCAAAAGTATGCTGTACTTAATCCTTTCATCTACCTTTTGTTAAGACTTTCAGTGAGTCAATAACATAGAATTTCATTCAATTCATGAAATGAGAAGATGCCAAAACAAATGAAAGTAATTACCATCAAGGTTTCAGTACCATCCACTCATCATATTATAAAACAAAACGTAGAAATATACATGCTTGACATCCTACACAAATTGTGATTGCAAACATCAGATTGATCCAGAAAAGGAGCATAGATATGAAGGATTGGAATTAGAATTGTTGGATGAAATAACAGAAAGACAGCACAAAGGGAATACAATAAGGACCTGAGGTAGGTTAGACAAATATCTATCTGACAAGTGTATTGCAAAGGCTTGGTATATGATCAGTGTGGATTTCACTTTATTGATTGGCAAAGCTTAAGGAAACCACCCCTATATTTTTTTACTGTTGTTGTGTTGTCATAGACAGCTGTTTGTATGTGTATTACTTCTTGACTATGTACTCCTATAATGATAAACAAAATAGAGCATGAGTATACTATGACAAAATAACCTGGTACTGAAACTATTAGGGGTTAGGGTGTTAGGATTAGGAACAAGATATCCCCACCCCACAGGTATGCAACATTGACTTTGTTCAAAATGTCCACCATTCCTCCCACTCCTTGATCTCAGAACATTAGAACTCACAAGCAGCATGAACTCAATACCCCGGCCTGGCACATCCCCATCCTGTTTCTTGCTGCCAGGAGCAAAGATCTAACAGTCCTCTCTCAGATAGCCTTGGTTTAATTTGAGTTGCCCTGACCATTTGATATACTTAGAATAGCTCTCTGTTACGCATACTATATCATGTGATAAACTTTAGATTATGAAATAGAGTTTCCTGAATTTTCATCCATTTAACTGCCCCAACAGAGCTTTCCGTCTTGGGTAAGATACAAGGCAGCATAGCATCCCCTATTCTTTGCAAATTGATGGAATTTGACCTCCCTTGACAAGTGCGGCGCCTGCCGCCCAATTGTGCTAGTCTGCTTAAGTGAACACACCCTAATTAATCTTACAATCACATTCATTCACATCAACACCTCACTAAAATTAGATGTCCTATCAACAATCTTATAATCCATCACAACCACCTTCTTGTCATTCACATAATCCACCCTATCCATCTTCTACCGGCAGATCTCCATCCAGGAATTTATCCGTAAGTCACACAATTTCTGCAATTCCCTCCAATCTCCAAGTCCATTTTCTGAGTATTCTTTGATTCAATTTCTTTGGATAAATCACATTGAATCATTAGTGTACCAAGAGCAATTTCAAACTCTGTAAAACAAAAACATAAACAACAAGCAGGTGATAGTACAGAATCCGCACATTTAAGATATACAGCAGCCACCTGTGATCCCGATGATTTCACTCCGATGAATGGTTGGAAATCAAGAAGCGCAAAAGACAATTGTGAAACGGAATTGTTAATTGTAGTAACTCATTATAACAAATATAAAATTTTGTTTACAAGAAATATACAGGGTGTGATGATGAATGTGAGTTTTCTTTAACTTCAAACAAGATATCACTTCCAAACATAAATCTTGTGATCTTTTCTAAACTTATCTTCTTGTCTTTCTTCTACAAATTTGTGATATTTGTAGATCTAGTTCTAAATTTTGGAATGGTAAAGGTGGTGGTGAAGATGGAAAGAAAACAGGTGAAGGTTGGAAACAGATTGTAGTTTCATTCATCTTTGATGGAATTAGACCTTGTGATAAAGTAAGGCCGCGTTCACTTAAGCTGGATTTCAAGAAATTGCATTCTTCTTGAGCACTTTTCTACATGTAGAAAAGTGTTTTCTTTCAAAAATCTGAATTTTCACATTTTGTGAGAATTTGTGAAAAAAAAAGCAATAAAGTGTTTGCTTAAATGACCATTAAGCACACGATCATAGAAAAGTGAAGCGATCATGTGATCACTTTTCTATGATCCCATTTGACACCTCAATCTTACTTTTGGCATCTCTCGCTTTATGAACTACTCACATCCGTACGCTTTTCATTTTTGAGTCAGAAAAATGAAAAGCATACACAAATACACATTTCACGAATAAAGAATACAATAAACATAAGACTCAAAATCCCTTCAAGAGAAGACCCTTGCATCAATAAGCTACTCAGCATAGAACAGTATCCTAATCCATAGTAACACCATAATTCAATCTAACATCAGAAAGGCAAGATTAGTAAAGATTGGCTTTGATTGACAAGATTGAGATGAAGATGATGACAGGAGAAAGGCCGAGTACTTGTCTATTTCATCGATGATAGTTAATACAAACACACCAGAAACTTGATCTTAAGAAGAAACCTTAGATAAGAACGTACTTACAGATTCTGTCAAACAGAAGTTGAGACACAATACCACACAACAATTTAGGTCGAACGATGAATAGATAAGGATGGGTGGAAGCAAAAGTTGTCTAGAGTTATTAGAAAACAGGTGATCAAATAAAAAAAGCAACCTCATCAGCATCATTCTGAAAAGAGATAGGAAAATACGACGTACTAGATGCATTTAAACCAACCCAAGCAACTCAGAAATGGTCCAGACAAGATTGCAGTGAGATCGAGTGCAGCGGTGTTGAAATTGATTGAGGTGTTGTTTGAGGCGAGTCTTGAGGAGCAAAAGTTGAAAAGTCAAGTTGAGTTGTTGGGCCGATTCATAATGAAATGAAAAGGGTAGTGATGGTCTGTGGGGGTGGCGGAAGTTGGCTTTGAGGAGTGTGTGGGATTCCGTACGGTGAACAGTGACTTGGTCAAGTTTTGATGAATTCCGTACGGTGAATGGTGACTTGTTCAAAACTGAAAAAAGGATAAAGAAAAGAAAAGCGATCACAGAATGTGATTTCAATCGATAAGAATGCACTTGTAGTGCATTCTTGAAAAGCGATGAAAAAAGTCTTTTTAGAAGCATTCTGTGATTTCTAGAATGCTTGTAAATAAGAAATCAAACGCATTTCACAGAATGCAATTTCTCAACATTCAAGAATGCAAATTTTCACCAAAAAGCACTTGAGTGAACGCGGCCTAAGTGTCCATAAAATGAATAAAACCAGGTTCCATATATCTTTATGAATAGACTGATCCTCATCATTTTTATAGAACAATGGAACATGTTGCATGGTTTATCTACAATCGGTGGTTATCAACATGGTTTGAAACCGGATGAAAGAAAAAAACAATCGAGCACCTAACAATCTTAACAAAATAAAAAACTCTTATGGGGAGACCAGAGGCCATGTACAAATAAGCGAACATAAAAAGACACTACAATAGTGGTACACAAACATTACAACCCATTTGAAAAACCCATTTGAGAAAAAATAGAAAAACCCATTTAAAAAATTATTTTTTTGAACAGAAAAATAAATTGGGTCCCTCTGGAATTTTCTGTTCAAAAAAATATATTTTTGAATGGATTTTTATATTTTTTCTTAAATGGGTTTTTCGAATGGGTTGTAATGTTTGTGTACCACTAATATTTCTCCGACTTGATTGATTTACATGACGATTATAAATAACTTTTACAAATTTGAAAAAAAAGGAAAATCTTTTCATGATACCGTCATTACTTGATATCAAGAAAGTAAGAAATTGGATAAAAATTGATTTATCAACCATACAGGCGTAAGTAACAGTGTCAATGAAGATATGTTATTATAGTAAAGAAAAACATTAATATGAAAAATATTACAAGAATTAACTAAACTCTTTCTATAAAGATAAATATATGACTACTTAATTAAATCTATACTTTTTATGACATTATTCTTGTTCATCTGATTATCTTCTTTTTTTTCTCTTTTTTTATTTCTTTGTGTGGGTGGATGTGAAGAAACAATCGAAAAACAACTCAACTGACGAAATTGTAGAATCTAAGATATCAAGACTAGACTTGAGACTGAAACTGGTGACTTAGAAATACACAACAGATGAAGCCCATGTTGCAATGATACGGAAATGATGGAGTATCAGATGTGCTAGCATTGAAAAGAGACCCATTCCTGAAATTGAATGATCCATGATCCATCATCTGATTTCGTTGGCGGAACTTTTAATTGACAAATAATTGTCATTCTTGTCACTCGTTACGGATATCTGCATACAAAATTTCAATTTTCCATTTTATCATTTTCTCTAACATTTGTCATAATTTTGATCCACTCGGTTAATATAGCGCCAACCATGAAGAAATCAGGCATATTGATTGAGCTTGTGGGCGCGAGCGGTATGGTTCCACTCCGTTGTGGTCTGGAACTTGCGAAGCGTGTGACTTGATGGAGAAAACACAAGGCTGCGTGTATGTGATTAGCAATTTCTAGCCGCTAGAAAATTGCACGGCACTTCTGATGCTCACCGTTGGGGCAGAGCTTTTTTTTGCCTCCCCACTTCCTCAACCTACGCAGTCGGACAACATTTATCACGTGCATTTCAGACCAGGCTTAAACAGGACAGGTGCAATCGATCCCACCACCTAATTCTCAATTGGCATCAAACAAACCAACACTCAAAACTTCCTCACGAGAAATCTAGAATCATCAATATAATGGCTTGCGATGACCAGTGCTTGAGTGGTAGGCTTTAGTCTTTCTTTGAACTTTTGATAGAGAAGAAGAATCTGTACCCATGTACCATCTTGATTCTCAGTGTCAGGCACATTTTGTTAACGAGTGTGCTTTCTTTCTTGTGTGATACTTATGTGTGATCGATCCCACCTATGTCTATGGACTCGACGGGTGAAGGGGTGATTCATGAGGGTAAGACGGTCCGGTCCTTGAGCCACACCCTTTGACGTGTTTAATACTCACTCAACTGGATGTCAACGTACAGGTAAAGCTCTCCGAAAATTCGAGACAATCAACAAGGTGAAAGTTTACAGCTTCACACCCTCTGACGCTCACCCTCACAAGACAATCTTGGTACTTTCTGACGTGTTCGGAGTGGAGCTCAAGAATATTCAATTGATCACCAATCAACTTGCAAAAAGAGTTGGCGTATCAGCCTATCTGATTGATTATTTGAATGGAGACCCTGTTCCAGAGGCTGCTCTGAAAGGGAATTTTTTGCTTCCAGGTTGGTTAGTAAACCATGGCCCAGAGCAAACGAGGGCCTTGTTGAACAAAGTCATGGAGGCTCTCAATCCCAAAAGGTTCACGGACTTCGCGGCTGTTGGATACTGCTTTGGTGAGGTTGAATCTTGATACATTTAATTCAAGAGTCAACATATGCTGATTCTGTTCCGTACTTAGGTGGTAAATATGTCTTCAACCTTGCTCAAGAGAATGCGTTGAAGGTTGGAGCTACTAGTCATCCTAGTCTTCTAGAAAATCCCAAAGACATTGAGAAACTCTTGGAATCCAGTCATGTTCTGCTCATGATTAACTCTTGTGAAACATTGAGTTGGCCTTTTTAGCTGTCACATTCATATCATCTAACAATTGATTTGCTTCTTGTCGCAGTGATAGTCACTTCCCAATTGAATTCCAAAAGTTGACCGACAAAATCTTGGGAGATGGCAAAGTAAGTCGTAACCCTGTACATGAAACTCACAAACATTAGCAAACTCACCAATCTTGTCAATACATCCAACCAAACAGTACAAACCTGGGTACAAGCACAACTATTACGCCGGCGTGGTACATGGGTTTGGGTCTCGGGCTGATCTGGTATGTGTTACTGATTAGTTTTAATATTGTAACTCCCACTTGTAAGGGGATGAAGTCTGATGGAATGTACATCAAAATATATAGGACAATCCATTAGAAACGAAGGCATTTGAAGAATCAACAGAGGAAATTATCAGTTGGTTCAAGACTCATCTGATGGTCTCCACAAAATAAGTTCAATTCCAGGATTGCGTACCCCGTGGATGTGATCTTCACTTATCATCACCCTTGCAACCACTTTTTTGTTGTGCTCCCTCCCGGACTTCCTCAGGTAACCCTCAGAGAACAACCAAAAAGTAGTGTGTTGGAGATGAACTCGTGATGTGGTGTGATATAAGAGTCTGAAACACAGGTGGAATCCTCTCAAGATCTTTCTACTCCATGTTGGATGGGATGGTCAAGTTTTATGATGAAAGATTCAATACTGAAGACTTAATATGATGATCATGCAACTCAATTGAATGAGAGTGTGACCACCTGGTTTCATAAAGCCATACTCACCAATTATCATATTGTTGGGTAAAGTTTGGCAAACTCAAATGAAATTCAAATGGCCCATTAAATAATTTTCACTACATGCAAAAAAGACATCAATTAATAGAGGCTGAGCCAGACATTGAGGATCTACTAGGTATTGAAAATATCAAAGTATAAGATTGGGTAAAGTCTTATAATGCAAGAATAGAGGACTCAAATTATCATAAGGCAAATGGTTTATACAAAACAGGTACTGGCACAAGTTTGAGTCAAGAGAAAGCTGAGGATGAATCAAAGCAACAGAAGGCTCACCTTTTCTAGGAAATACTTTCACAGTGAAAACCGTTCTCTAGACTAAAAGATAAGAGCACACAATGGCCAGAATCAGCATAAAAAACAGGGAAGTTAGAACTGTAAAATGATATCAAAAGATATTGATATAATATACAAGGAAACAAGTAAATCAAACAGGTATGTGACATGAATTGTATGGTGGTTTACCACTTCAAGAAACCTGGGTTTAGAGGTTTCAAATCATCCCTTCTTTAGTTCATAGCACTGTACTTGAGAAGAAATATTTGAGATACAAGATAGAAAGTGAAACACAGAGAATAATGAGAAATACATATATCCATTATACTGATACAAGTCAGTTATAAGAAAAACAAAGATGAACAAAATAATTACAAAGTGAGAAACAAGAGGACAATTTTCAACTGTTGTAGCTTATTATTTCTCTGCACTGCAGCTTCCACTTATTGCATCTTTTAACATTTGCGGAAGTGTAGAAAAAGTTATTGGGGTCTCCCTCCTCTATACAGCTGATTTGAGAAAAAATGCTGTCCTGTGTTTTTTATTCTTGAATTTTTTGAAGGTTGCACTAAAAATTACTGACCTGGATTCTACATAGAGTTGCTTCAGTCAATGATGTGCTAAACTTTTTCACAATCATTGCACCCTCGAATAAGTTGACTGCAGCTCTTATCTAGAATCCAGGTGAGTGATTTTTAGTGTAACCCTAAAAAATGAAAAAACACAAGCAGGCAGCATTTTTCTCAAAAGAGCTGTAATGTTGTAAGTGCTCTTGGTTGGTTGGGAGTTGGAGGGAATGGTCTTCAGAACTCATGAGGACACAACATCCATTTGGATGATTTTCTTGTATAAAAAAGGGCCACCCCATTGAGCATGAAGTTTTGGAGGGTAGTCCTCAAATATTTGTAGGACAAGGTCACCTTATTGAAATTTTGTTCAACATAAGTTTCTTCAGACTGGGTGGCACATCTGTCAGGTTTCTCATTGGTAGATTTGATAGCTTCTTGTTCAGCACTGTTGAGTTGTTTTGTATCTAAGTTATGTTTTCTATAGATTAGTTCCACTCCCTAAGTTGAGATGGGAGGAATGAGACCAAAGAATAAGGGATTATGAGGTAGTCTGGCTTCTATACCATGCACTAGGAAATAAGATGTTTTTCCTAGTGCTGTGTTCTTGGACACACAGTAGCCAAATGAGGGTTGTTCAAGGAATTCATCCCATTTATCTTGAGATTTTGGTGAGACAAATTTCTAAATTGTTGGGATTAGGTTTTGGGTTAACCTTTCAACAAATCCATTTTATTGAGGGTGGTGTGAACTAGTGTGGTTATGTTGAATGAGATTGATCTTGAGGAAGTTGATGATATCATATGAGTCAAGATATCTTTGTATCTTAAGATAATGAAAATATCAATAAAGAATGTGTGAGTGATGTATCACCAGTATGTATATGTTTCCAAACTCATTACTTACCCATTGCATGCTTGATGGGAATTGATTGCCATCTCATCACTTGGTAATTCAACCAGTCCAAAATACCCTTGATTTTGATTTGGGCGAAGCAGATTATTGAACATTATTGAGAAACTAACAAGTGATTAGTTTGTTTTTTGAGCTGCTGTGATCCAGAATCCACGAAGCAAACCAACCATACGTGTATATGGTAGTCTTTGTTTTTGGACTGATTTCTTTGACTCAGACTGAGAGTTGAGTGTGTCATAACTTGATTTTAGACAGCAGATCATGTTGATGTTGATGTGATAATTGTTCCACCTAAGATAACATTTTCTTTCTGTGATGGCTAAGGATTGTATGCCTGGAAGTGTGCTCCTTGAGATTTGGGAATACAAGGTACGGATGCCAGGTCTAATGAGTATGGTAGGGGAAAAGTAGAAATTTGGGTAATTCAAAGGCCTCTCCTGACCGCCAGGTCATTGCAAGACTTCCATTTTGTTTCTTGGAATTCTGCCCTTAGCCTTGGGCGCGTTCACTTAAGCAAATTCTGGTGAGAAATCACATTCTGCAAAATTTAAAATGTCTATTTGGTGGGGCATGTTACATTTTTGCATTAAAAAATTTACGGAATGTGATTTCTGGTCAGAAATTCCTTAAGTGAACGTGCCCTTAGAGTGTGAGAACTAGGACAAAATTTGGTCTATCTGTTTAGATTCATCAAAAGCAATTAGGATCAAAAGGAACAGGATGTTGGTGTAGTGTTTGATAGGCATACACGTAGGTGATTTGTCTGTTGCAGTCGCAGATAATTTGCACATTGAGAGAATATCAGTGCTTTTGGTGTGGTGATCAATTTATGGGATCAATTAAAAAATTCACAATTATCAGTTTACCAGTTTATTAGAAGGATTCAGCTGGACAGAAAATTCAAAATGGAGGCTTTGGATCAATTGAAGCTCTTGTAGGCTTATGTATTGGTCATAAGGATAACATTACATCATTATATTTCACATTACTTATTAAGATCATTATAGTTTATTCACAAACTTATTACAAAAAGAAAGAAAGAAAAACATAAGAAAAATTCGAAAATATAGTTACATAGGTTGGAAAATGGTTTTTAGGGTAGTAAAAATAAAGTTATGGGTATTATGAGGCTAGAATATGAAAGAACAACATTATATTATACCGTGACAATTTTGATATTGAAGGTTGATAAGAAGAAACAAAAGTTATCAGAGAAAAGGCACTTTTTCGAAGTTGGTAAACAAGAGGTACACGTGTAGTTTGGTTATGTACACCAGGGGGCAACTTTTTGTCGGAATACAAGCAAAAAGTTGGTTGTGTCAAGATCTGGCCAAACGCTGGCCAATATATCAGCGTTTGACCAGATTTTGGCTGGTATGGCTATACCAGCTGATTTCTGGTTGAAAGCTGATATTTTGGTCAGAAATCAGCTGGGCGGTCGGCTGGTCGGTCTGGCGAGAGATGGACCAGCCTTTTGGCGAGCAGAAGACGGTATAAGGAACTCTCTTCCAGGAACATCAAACCAGAGGCTGTGCAATTAAAGTTCCTTAATCACATTTGCCTCCATTGCCGTGGTTCTAGCCACCCCTTTTTTATTTTGACAACACAAGAGCTCCTAGAATCCATTCTTTGGTCTAGGAGCTCTTCACCATCTTCCTCACCATTGATGCCACAACCCACATAGGGTGGATGGGGTGACCAAGGGAGATGTTGACCGATGGATCAATAAACCAATCACTTGGTCAACTAGGCTGTAAACTGGTCGCTGGATGGCCTGAAAACCGCCAGATGGCCCATCTGATGGTGGTCAAGAAATACCGCCTTTTGACTGCCGTGCCACTGACCATCTGGCGGCGGTTCTCCGCCACCAAGAGAATCTCGCTGTACGGCGGGATTCCATGACCGCCTTCAGATGGTACCAATTACCCCGTGGTGTAATAGTGGTAGTAATGGAATTTAGGGCGTGTTCACTTAAGAAAATTTTGACCAGAAATCACATTCTGCAAATTTTTTAACGCAAAAATGCAATATGCACTACCAAATAGACACTTTAAATTTTGCAGAATGTGATTCCTCACCAGAAATTGCTGTTGAGGTGGTGACGCTGGAACGAGGATCTTCCTTGATCCATTTCTGAGGAAATGGACTGACGCGACTCTAGGTACTCTCCTTAAGAGTCCCTTAGAGTTTAGCCGTGAGATTGGGGATTCAAGGCACGGATTGGAACAGCGACGGCTGTTCCTGATCTTGGTCGAGTTTTAGAGATCACCCCTTGGTCGACTCTTTGTTTTTCCCTCGACCAAGTTTTGCTCTCCTTGCCTCTTCTTCCCTTCATCACGACTTCGCGGACCTCTGTCCCTTTTCCCTCTATCCGATTCACTCTGAGACCTTTTTTAAAACATGATTTAGTTAGTGATGAAGAAGTAGATCCACTAAAAAATTATAAAAGCGGAAGGACTTCAAAGAATACGTTAAAACGTTTTACAGAATATTGGGATAAACATTTGAAGAAGATGGATGTTCATTTTCCATTAACGATTTTTAACGCTGAATGGATAGAATTAGATACTTTAGTATCAAGAAACAATACTTTGAAAAAGAAAGATAGGACAACAGGACAAAATCCAAAGAATGAATGGTGGTTGTCGTTTGCTGAATGGACGAGAGCGAGACTCTTAATGGTCAAATACTTGAAAGAGCAATATAAACACAAAGCTTTTGCTAAAGAGTGAGTAATTTGATAACTTGTTAAAATTTGAGAAGTAAAATTTGAGAAGTTGACATATAACAAAAATGACCTTTTGATGATACAGTTTAGAAAAACACTTCGACTATGTCCAACAATTGAGTGATAGACATGGTTGGGTGGTAGCATTCAGATACGACATATCAGTAAGAACAGAT